ATTTAACAATTACTATAGTTTACATATTTAGAATCTTTTTATAATATTATGGACATTTAGGGTCTGTATGTTTATAAATCTGAAAAATCTTTTTTTTTTTTTGAAAAATAATTTTTTTTAAAAATTACATATTTTTCAAAAAATATTTTAAATATTTGGTGTTTGACTCAAGATAAAAAAAAAAAAATATCTTTTTCCTATTTAGTTGAAAGTTAAGAGTTTACTTCTTCTTCTTCTTTTTTTTGTCTTTTTTTTTTTTTCCTGTTTAGTTTATTTTCTTGAAAATAAACATAAATATATTATAAAATTATTTGTTATGAAATATTTATTATTTTAGTAGTGATAGTAATAAAATAGAATCATCAATCAACAACATAGAATAGAATCCAAATAAATCAAAATCCATCACACCACATTCTTTGCATACATAAATTTATATACATATGCATGTACACTAAGTAACAATGAAATGAACATTCGACCCCAAATAAGTAAAATTGATCATGCTTTAGACTTATCACCAATATCCACTTTAACCCAAAATTTTACAAGAATATTGAAAGAAAGAATACTTCTTTTGATGTTATACAATGAAATTTATGAAAACTATTCAAAACTAATGTATCTGATCTAATGAACCAGATAGAGTTTTTCTTGTTTATAAGATTGAAACAATAAAAAATAGAGTTGGAGTAAACTCGATTATAAATTGAGCTAATTTCCTAAACCAAATTTTAATTTCGTAAATCAAATTTTGATTTCCAAAATCAAAATATTGGTTCCAGAAACAAAAACTTTTGGTTTCAGAAACTAATAATATGAGATAAACATGAGAGTGAAGTGAGACGGAAAAATAAAGAATTTGTAAAATGTCTTTCAACTAATAAGTAATAATATAGAAAGGCATTTTCCACAAAATTATGCTTTCTTCCATTGATCATAATGTGTATTTTCCTTTGATTTGATTTTCGTTACATACTCAAACACGAGAAAATCTGAAAAATAATTATTGAACATATAGTTTTGTGATTTATGAATACAAAGTTCAACAATTGAATATATGAACATAAAAAATTATGAACATATAGCTCTATAATTATGAACATATATTTATAAAATTAAGAACATATAGCTCTTTCACATGTTCACAAACCTAATACTGTAGATTCATAATTTATTATTGTAGATTCATAATTTCTATATTGTAGATTCATAATTTAAATACAGTATATTCATAATTTCTAAACTGTGTGATTGCAAAGAGAGATAATTATGAATCTATATGTTCATAATTTGATTGCAAAGAGAGAAAAACAAACTATATGTTCATAATTTGATAACTATACAGTTTAGAAATTATGAATCTACAGTACATTAATTATGAATCTACAATATAGATTTCATGAATCTACAGTATAGAAATTATGAATTTACAGCATAGAAATTATGAATCTACAATATAGAAATTATGAATCTACAACCGTTCCCACCTTGCAAGGTAGACACGTTTCTACAACATAATTTGCCTAACTAAGCAATCATTATACTATGGACCATGATCTACATTATAAGGTAATCCATTAACATACATGGCAATTTATATTGTGCACCACGACATACATAGCAATGTGCGCCCAAGCACAAAACGCGCGCGTTTCAATTGCTGACGTCACTCCATCTGTCCAAACAGCCAAAACCCCATTATGTGTAGGGTGGGTGGGGCGCACGATATAAGGATTGAACATACATATTCATTTTTAGTGTTTTTTTTTTTTACTTAGACTAATCCCCGTTCACACCGGGCCCGTCCAACTAAGGGGCAAAGTGCTGGCCAGATTGGTTTTTCCATACCAAAGGGGTTCGAACTCCCGACCTCTCTTAAGGGACAAGAGTGCACGCCAACCAAACTGGTTATTCATTTTTAGTGTACTAAATGTTCTTTTTTGCAAGTTCATTTTTAGTGTATTATCTAAAAATGAATATTTAATATAGTAAAAATGAACCTCGAGTATATTAAAAACAAACATACATTAGTGGTTTACCTTACAATGTTGATCATGGTCCACTTTATAATTTGCAGTAGTCAAGTTGGAGGAGCATGATTTTTGTACAAGATGATTAAGAGTTTGATTCTTATCAATATATTTTTTGGTCAAACTAATTTCACATGATCTTCCTAGTGAAATTTACCTCTGATCTCATGTTTTTATATAGCTAGTACCCACAAATTCCTATCCTCACAAAATAAAAAATAAATAAATAAATAAAACAAAAAAAAAATCAATAATTACGTTGCATGTATTAATGTTACTAATATTAATCTTGTCAGATGAAAAGCCATGTTTGGTCTGAGAGAGTGAGAGATGGAATTGCATGTTCTTAGGTCTATCCTTAATTGCAAGCTAGTGCCAGTGCATCAATATTCTCCCATCCCCATTGTTTAAATACATAAAAGAAGAATTTCTGCCTTACAACTAACTTTCATTTTGCTCCATAAAACAACTTCCTAATTCCTACATATCTTCTCAGAATCCTGCCATATTTGCGCCAAATTAAAACTATTATATATTCAGAGGAAATAATTGTTTCATCTCAATTAAAATTTTTATATACATACATAATAACCAAAAATATTGTTTCAAGTGAGAAGAGTATGGTTGTATGAATTATATTATTATTTTTTATTTTACTTTAGAGTGTTTATTTATTTTTTTTTTCTTTTGATTTCCTTTCCATTTTATTAAGTAGAAAATATTCAATAAAAGGTTTTTCATCTTTACTTTGCTTCTTATTCAAGCAAGGAAAAATGGAAAATTGAAGCTTTTTGCTCTGATCTATTTTCTTTTCTCTCATTTTTCATTCTTCACACGAACTATAGTGTTGTTTGACTTAACTAAAATTTATTAAAGGAAAAATTATGAGAAGTCAACTTTGAAAGTGCTTTTCACTCTTATTTAACTTTATAATAATAATTAAAAGGATTTTCCAAATGTGATTTCCAAGCTCCACATCTCAATCTCGAATAGGTTAGTGATGTCAAAATGGCAAATTATACCATGGACTGGATTCACCTTGTTTTGTGGACCTTGGTCTAAAATGACATTCAGATAATGTATCTACACTTAATATATTATATGTCTTTAGTTAACAAATTATATGCGTATAAATAAATTAAAGGCACATAAATTCTAACTACATGCACATAATAAATTAACTGCAGATTATCTATCTACGATTAAACATATTATGTGTCTTTAATTTATTTACATGCACATAATTTATTAACTGAAGACATATAATATGTTAATACATAACAATTTTTATATCAGAATTCAGAATATAAAGTATACCCTGGTCCGAGGTATATCAATTGTGCAGTGTCAAAATATGCACGGCATCATTATATCTAGCTAACAAACTAGCATACCATACTATCTAATCCGGTCAATAACCTCCCACGATGTTAGTTTGTTGTAGCAAGTTGTAAGGTTTGACTAACGACCTTTCTTTTACTATAAATAAATAAAAAGTCTCAAAACATTATAAATGGAGTTAATATCCAATATAGTCTTCAACTATAGTGGTTTTACTCAATTTAGTTTTAAATGACTTTTTGTGTTAAATTTAGTCTTCAACTTTGATGATTTTACACAATTTAGTCATTTGTTAAAAATTTTATTAGTTAACTGTTATAAATAGGGTCCTAATAGTAATTTATCATTCTTCATCCCATTTGGTATGATTCCTTCTTCTTCCCCTTATTAAGATCTACGCAAAAATGCAAATCTTCTACCCAAATCAACTTCAACCCTAAATAAATAAATATAGAGTAAATAAATATTTGGGTATGAAGATTTATATATTTGCGTGAATCTTAATAAGGGGAAGAAAAAGAATCATCTCAAATGGGATAAAGGATGAGAAATTACCATTAGGGTCCTATTTTTAAACGTCTACTAACAGAATTTTTAACAAAGGTTTAAATTGTGTAAAATCATCAAAGTCGATGACTAAATTAAGCACAAAAAGTCATTTAGGACTAAATTGAATAAAATTACAATAGTCGATGACTATATTAGGTATTAACTCTTATAAATGACTTTCACTCGTATAAGATATATATATAGGTAAATTAGTGTGAATCAACGACCATCTTTCAATCTTCACTCCTTAGTCTCTTCAACCATTTGTACATTTATTAAGACATCAATAATAATGTAATTACAACTTCACTTAATTAATTAAAAACAAAAAAGATTATTATATATCTCGTCATCATGTTGGTACATGATGGCTCTAGTCAATTTTACACCAACAACATTAATTGATATAGTTAAGAGATAAGAAATAGCATGCAGCTTTGGGAAAGAAACACACGTAAACTTGGTAACTTGCCAAAAAAAACAACGACAAAGAAATTTCTTAGAAAGCATATATTATATATAGCACTACAAATGTCATACTGCAAATTAAACCATCATTGAAAGAGAAAGTTCAGACACACAAAGCGGCAGGTGAAAACAAGTGTTGCATGCCCTCTTATCTATGTAACGCTTGTAATCTTCTACCCCATACCCCATTCCCTTTTCTTTTTGTAACATTACTCCAAAACAAGTGTTGCAGTAAATATAATGCTGGTTTTCGCCAGATACCAGACCTATGGTTTTCGCGGGAAACCAATATCAAAACAATATTTTTACCAAATTTTGATCTGTTGACTTGATTTTCCAGTCACATCTAATTGGTATGAACCATTTTACTATGCTTAAAAGAAGTAATACATTTGATTCTCATTGGAAGCATCTTCTCAATTGAAATTTTGTGTACCAAAAAAAAGGGCAAAAAATAAAACAATGAGAAATGAAAAAGGGGAAGAAAAAAAAAAAATGTCTTTTCATAGTGGCGTTTGAGGGGGTCCCTTGAGAAAGGTTCCATTGCAACAAGCATTCTTTGCTCCTACAAATACCCCAACACACACCCCCCGAACCTTCATACTTGCCATCAACCCATAGAGGCATTCCATTCCATACCATAAGCCTCCAACCAAACCAACATTTATTTCGTTTACCAGTAACCTCGACTCAATCTTAAATTCGTTTCGATCTCTCTTGGATGCTTTTCTTGGCTTGAGGTAACAATTTTTTTTTTTATTATTATTCTTATAAGTATAGATTTGAAGCATCACATCCATCCACTGTCACCTTTGTCACTACTTGCATGATCATCTTTGCAAGTGTTAGCATTTTGGCATCGTAACTTGAAACTTTGTTAGCTGTGTATGCAATCGGTCAGATCTATATATATATATATATATATATATATATATATATATATATATATATATATAATCTTTTTTCTCATTATTATCGATTAAACTTTTTGCAGAGGAACATTAAGATACAATACAGTTAGCAAATATTGTTTGGAATTTTGAAGAAGCTAAGATGTCTGGTGTGATCAAGAACTTCAACTTAGATGGGGCGGAGGGAGTGGCGGCGGCGGCGGCGCTGCCGCCGCCGCCGCCGCCGGCGAAGAAGGCTAAACAAGGCATAGGGTCGATTCTGGGGTCAGAAGCATCTGCGGCAGCCTCCATAAGAAGAACTCTCTCAGCTGATATGTCGTCGAAGAAATGGCTGTCGCAGAATGGGTTCTCGGGGTTCCCGGCGGCGGGCGTGAAGAAGGTGGGTTCCTCCGGCGAGTTCGCCGCCGACGGGCATGAAGAGGATGAGCTGAGCAGGCCCGGGCAAGATGAGGTTTGGAGAGCAATCCAAGCCGCTCAGAAGCAGCTTCCGATTCCTCTAAAGCCGGCATTAAGGTCATGCGAATCTTGGAGCTCGATTCTGGTGTCACAAAAAACTGATGAAGATTCTTCCAATCTTCCTCCCCCTTATGTTCATCCGCTCGTGAAGAGAAGAACGGCTAGCTCTTTGAGCGAGAAAAGCCTGGAGATTTGCACTGAAAGCCTCGGCTCTGAGACCGGCTCCGACGGCTTCTCCTCCTCCAACTCTCCGCCGGAATCCGGCGATGAAGAAGAAGAGGAGAAAGAAGACCAAGAAATAACCTCTCATCACTCTTTTGAAGCTGAATTAACTGTGAAGCATAGCTATAGCAAGCGATCGCCGCCCAGATCTTTCCCTCCTCCTCTGCCTTCTCTGGCTAAGAATAAGGCGTCCCTTCAAGTGCTCTCTCGCCGGCAGAATGGTCGCCTGATTCTTGAAGCCGTTTCTGTCCCCCCGCAAGACTATCTCCACGCCCAACGACACGACGGCCGCCTTCTCCTCACCCTTGTCAACGCCGGCTCCGCCTCAGAAGAGACAGGGGACAGAGATGAACCCACACAAGTGTTTGACAGTTTCGGAGAAACCGATGATTCTGTTCTTACTGACGATGATGATGAAGAAGAAGATGATGATGAGCAAGAATTGACTAAAGAAATGGGATTAAATTCAAATTTGCCAATTATGTCAGCTCCACCATTTATGAAGGAATTCAAGAAAAACACATTCTGGGTTAACAACAAGACAGTGGATTTGATGGAGGAGGAGAAGGAGGATCTCATCATTACTCCACTTCCACCACCGCCGCCGGCGGGAGTTGCAGGGCTAATCCCGGCCGCCGGCTTCGTCAACACCTACGACTACTTCTGGAGGAAGAAACCCACAGTTGCAAGCGTGATAATCGACACTGAACAATGCAAAGGCGGCGGCGGCGGTGGCGCAACAAACAACCTCAAGAACATCATCAACAGCAACAACAACGTTGTTGAAAGTCCAAAAGTTGCAGGATATGAGCAGAAACACAGAGGGGTGCTCTTGAGAGGAAGCATGGCGGCGAATAACATTTTGAGAGGATGCAAAGAATCCAGGAGGTCATTGCTACCATGGGAGCCTTACTGCATTGCCACAACTTGATGGATCATCATTTCTCCATTAATTAATAGCTTATTTAACATATATATATGTATTTTAATTTCCTCCAAAATTAAGGTCATTAGTTTTTTTCTCTCTTGGTCCACCAAGGGAGTTGTGTTTGCTTGTGTACCCAAAATAAACATAAGCTATACTATGATTCAGATCAGAGCACCATAAAATTCTATGGTCATATATCTCATATGATCCTCAAATGACCATTTTTTTTTTCTCTCATATTTGAAGTTATTAATAGTCAATGAGTTATTTGACTTTTGCTCTTTATATTACACATTTACACTTTAAACTATCATAGTTTTGACTCCAAGTACACAAGTAAATTCCTTATTAGATCTATTTCCTTATTCTCCATTTTTCACATGGCCATTCAACTCCTTTGGGCCAAATCTCCCCACCCTAGGCCAAGCCAACAATTCTGACAAATTATATTGTGCTCCGGTCATCAAATATGCAGTGCAGTTTCATTTCAACACAACTACAGTATCATTTTGATATAACTACAGTTTCGCTCAACAATATACACTCAAATATGTGAAATTGTTATTCAGTTTCATTTCAACACAACTACAGTTTCATTTCAATTCAATTGCAGTTTCATTTGATAATATAAAATAAAAATAATACGTGAGACAGTATCAGTTTAGATACACTATAGTGTCTGCCATTTTGGACCATAGTCCACAAAGCTTTGTGGACCGCGGTCCATAGTATAATTGTTGCACAATTCTTCGTAACCAATTGTTATATCATGTATCAAAGTTCACCTTGCATTGTAGACCCTTGATCAAAACGGCATTCAAATTATGTATTTGCTATTATGTACTTCCATTTAATAAACTATGTGTCTATTACAATTAACATATTATGTACCTGCAGTTACTATATTATGTGCATATAATTAATAAATTATGTACCTATAGTTAACATATTATATATCCTTAATTTATTTATAGATACATACTCCATAATTTGTTAACTGCAGACACATAATCTAAATGTCATTTTGAACTATAGTCCGTAATGCATAGTGAACCCTGGTGTATGGTATAATTTGCCCTTCGTACCACCACAACTTCATTAATCCACTCATCATGTCTTGGGCTGGTTTGTACTTTGCAGTCCTAAAATTAGTACATGATATTCAGAGGAATAGGTGGTGGTCTAGGGAATTATTTGTAGTAAATGGTGGTCAGCTAGACAAATTTTGAGGAGTCATCTTTGAGTTGATGGGGTTATCTCTTCCTGTCTTCAGCATTATAACATGAATGATAAATTGAAGCATGTATTCTATCTCAATTAAAAATCTAAGCTTATAGTTAAATTACACATTTATATTTTTATATTACATGCTCAACATTATATTCTACCTTTTTTTCTTTTTCTTTTTTCTTCGGCTTTTCTCATTCCAACCTATGGCGGGTTGGATGTTGTACTCGTGTCTGGTCCATTTGATGTTATTTATGGGAACACTATATCCCTGTTTGATACGCTGATGATTTCATATCCTGGTTCCATTTCCCAACTTTTTCTCTAAAGAACCCTTGGGACTGGAAAGAAAAACTCAAAAGCTAAGTAAAATCTCATTGTTCAATGACCCATATTCTCCTGTTACTAGGCTAGAGAATAATCGTTAAGGTTCAAATTATCGGTAACCTATGCTTCTGTTAGTAAAATATAAGTTTTATGGAAAATTTTACAATGCAGAATTACAAATGTCATATACTTCTAAAAAGGTGTTTGGTTCACGAAATCTTGGATTAATTGAATCACCACAAAAAAGGTAATGGCCATGTTTAGTAAAATGACTGTTAGCTGATAACTGTTTGATGTTAGCTGATTGTGTTAATTAGAAAGTATAAATAGTTGATAACATTGGCTGATTGTAAGTTGATAACATTGGCTGATTGTAGAAAAGTGATTGGTAAATTAGCTGTTAGCTGATAGCTGTTTGGTATAATTTCTTTTCTCAAAAAACTAATTAAAAAAGTTGTTTGGAGTAACTTTTTGAATTTTAGCCTTTTGAAGTGTTACAAAAAGCTAATTAACCAAACATTTATATTGATATTTTAACTAAATCAAACAATTAATAATGATCAAAAAGCCAAAATTGGCCTATAGGCCAATTTTTTACCAAACACGACCAATGTAAAATTTTGAGAATATATAAAATTATCATGTGTTTGGTTTGAGGTTTGAATTGTGAAATATAATATTACCTTATTTGATTAATAGTCATATTTCAGATTATATGGATATTATATCTTTGATAAGCGGATGACGACGACAGCGCCGGCATCGCGGCGGAGGGTGTCGGTGGTGCATAACGAAGGTGATGACGATGAAGAAGCTGGGGGCGGTCACGGTGGTTGCATGCATTCGCTGCATTTCCTTCAAGCCGGAACTACCCTCTACCCCCATGCCATTCACTTAACTCGACGGCGATCACCACGCCGGAATTCCAGTCAGAGAGCGTTTAGGGAGGGGTCCGAAACTGAGGTCACGAATTATGATGATGATGATGTCGAGATCGCATCTGATACAGAGGCTGAACTAGGTGTTTACATTGGATGCAATTACAGATGATAAAACCTATATACATCTACTACAAAATAAAAGAAATAACAAATTGCCCGCTGGACGTTTATCAACGGCGGAAAAGCCTGTAAGAAAGGCGATGATGCAGCTGAATGAAGATGACAACTCAGGCTGCATGTTGAGAGGAATCTGGAAGCCAAAAGACAAATATGAGTTCTACTAAATCTCAGACATGGCAAAAACAGAGTGAGTGATGGAGTGGTTGGGGCTCTTGTCTGGTAATCCGAGCGTCTGGGTTCGAACCCCACTCCATTTCCAAAATTTGTAGTAATTTGTAGTAATTTCTTGCAAATTCCAGATATTCCAGATTTTCTCCCAATTCCCAGAATTTTTTGTAGCTCTTGCTCTTTGCTTGTTGGTAAAAACGTAACTCTTTTTTTGTAGCTCTTGCTCTTTGCTTGTTGGTAAAAACGTAACTCTTTGTCACGGTCCCCACAGACGGCGCCAAAATGATACTGTTAATACCCGTGTACGTAGGATGTATGTATGTAAGTAATGTGTATGAACAAGGGAGATATAGCTCAAAGTGGTATTTTATTCATATGTGTTCTTCTTGCATGTTTAGAGAGAAGGGAGAGCCTTAGCTAGAGAGAGAGTGTGTAGTGGAAGTGAAAGGGAGGACCCCCCCCCCCCCCCCCCCCCCCCCCCCATAAATGAAGGGTTAAAAGCCCTTATATAGGTCAACCCAAGTCGGGTTTGACCTTGACCCGAACCACCTTGACCCGAACCGTTTGACCCGACCCAAATAGGAGTACGGAGCGTACGGGGAGCCTGAACCCGGGGTATATTCCCCATCATGAAGCCCCCCCAGTCCGTGCCCTGACGATGAGTTAGCGAGGAAGGATTCGGGCTGGAAAACTGATCACACGGTCCGTGACTTGCGCCGGTTGCCTCGTTAAAAACCTTAGGCTAATAAAAAACCCAATGGGAAAAACTTTAGCTAAGGAAAAAAGAGCACAACGCTAAACACAGTCTGGTGGACTAAAAAAGGGAGTTGCCCGACCTAGGGGTCGGTTTTGCAACATGATTCGAGAGGTCGAACCTTTACGGGACGAACGACCGGGAAGCTAGCTAAGATCTGGAGATCGGGTTAGCTGCGATCTAGAGGTCTACTTTACCGGTCTGCCGACCGGGAGGTCGGATTTATTTACGATTTGGGGATCAAACTTTCTATGACTTAACACTAGGAGACCGGGAAGGTCGATCTACGCGGGAGAGCGACGAGCTACTACCGATGTAGCCCTTCACTCCCTTAGTTGCGAGAATCGTCAACATAAGATAGTAGATATGATAGATTTCCGAGTTTGCTTTACAACTTTAATCGCAATCTGTAAATGAATCGACTGAACTCACGATGCCGATGCATCAAACTATACTTCGGCCGACTGGGCGTAGAGCGCCGGCGGTGGCTATGCCAACCTAACCGGGCGTAGAGCGCCGGCGGTGGCAATGACGCCGAACGGGCGTAGAGCGCCGGTGGTGGCTATGCCAACCAAACCGAGCATAGAGCGCCGGTGGTGGCTATGCCAACCTAACCAGGCGTAGAGCGCCGGTGGTGGCAATGATGCTGACCGGACCGCACTTAAAGCACCGGTGGCAGCTATGCCGACCTAACCGGGCGTAGAACGCTGGCGGTGGCAATGATACCAACCGGGCGTAGAGCGCCAGCTAACCGGGCGTAGAGCGCCGGTGGTGGCTATGCCTAGAGCGCCGATGGTGGCTATGCCAGCCTAACCGAGCGTAGAGCGCCGGCGGTGGCAATGATGCCGACCAGACGTAGAGCGACGGTGGTGGCTATACCTAGCCCCCCGAGTCCGAGCGGCTATGACGGTCGGTCAATTGCCGGTCGGACTAAAAGAGGAAAGGGGAACGCGAAAGAACGCGTATAACCCCCCGAGTCCGAGCGGCTATGACGGTCGGTCAATTGCCGGTCGGACTAAAAGAGAAAAGGGGAAACGCGAAAGGAACGCGTGTATAGCCCCCCGAGTCCGAGCGACTATGACGGTCGGTCGGACTACAAGAAGAAGGGGGGAACGCGAAAAGACGCGTGTAGCCCCCCGAGTCCGAGCGGCTATGACGGTCGTTCGATTGCCGGTCGGACTAAAAGAGAAGAGGGGAACGCGAAAGAACGCGTGTAGCCCCCCGAGTCCGAGCGGCTATGACGGTCGGTCAATTGCCGGTCGGACTAAAAGAGGAAAGGGGAACGCGAAAGAACGCGTATAACCCCCCGAGTCCGAGCGGCTATGACGGTCGGACTAAAAGAGGAAAGGGGAACGCGAAAGAACGCGTATAACCCCCCGAGTCCGAGCGGCTATGACGGTCGGTCAATTGCCGGTCGGACTAAAAGAGAAGAGGGGAAACGCGAAAGGAACGCCTGTAGCCCCCCGGGTCCGAGCGGCTATGACGGTCGGTCAATTGCCAGTCGGACTAAAAGAGGAAAGGGGAACGCGAAAGAATGCGTATAACCCCCCGAGTCCGAGCGGCTATGACGGTCGGTCAATTGCCGGTCGGACTAAAAGAGAAGAAGACGACATTGTGGTTGTTCGGGCAACAAGGCCGGAAGTTTAAACGACTTTGCGGTCGGTACAAGTTTAAGCGACTTTGCGGTCGGTAGACCAGAATTGCCTACTTAGTAGGACTTGAGGCCGGGACAATTTTCCTGACTTTACTATGCCGACGGTAGCGGGGCCGACCTGACCGGGCTCTAAGTGCCGGTGGTGGGAATACCGACCTAACCGGACTTATTACAATTATATTCTAATTATTACAAATTTCTAAATATAAAGCTATGGCCCTTACCACTTATAGTCTAATACAATTTTCTAAGGTTGGGCCTATAACTTGCACGAACTAAAACTTAGCCTATATAAATTCTGTAATTTGAAAATTACATTATAAAATTAGAGTACAAATTTATAAAATTCAACTCTTGCAGTCTTGCCTTTATTTCACCGATCCAAATTAGAATTGGGATGCGAATGGAACGGAGTCTCAGCCACAATCAGGATTTTGCTTACTATCTGCTCGGGGCACGGATTTCTCGACGATAGACGCGAACGGTGGCGGTCGGGAGAGATCGTGACGCCCGGATGTCGATCAATCTGCTCCGGGGTCGCTCAAGACACGGCGGTCGGGAGAAATTATGGTGCTCGAATGGCGATCGGTTCGGCGGTAGACGCGAGCGGGGCGATCGGGAAAGACCTTGACACGCGGGTGTCGATCAGCATGCTCCATGATCTCACTAATATTTCCCCTGCTGACCTGTAAACGACCGGAAGGGATTTGCGCTCGACAATGTTTCTTGGTGGTGCTCGGGAAATCTACGCTAGGATCAAGGACTTTCACGCTAATCGGGAACTCTACGGTAATCACTGCTTCTTGCAATCTGCAAAACCCACCCATCATCAACACTAGCAGATAAAACTAGGTACATGGCTACAGCTTGCGGAGGCCGGTCGGGATCAATGTCCGGCATATGGTGTGTTCGGGAAAGTCGACCGTATGACGGTTCGCCACTACGCTTGGTTGATAAGCCGTCCGGAGCTTGGTTTCGACCGCTGGCTCGGGAGGGACTGCAACACCAGAGCCCACGACGACCGGTCCATGAGAGCGATCAGTGCAAGTAATGAGAACCACAGCTTCCTACGGCACGAGCGCTCGAAGATCAAGCCCGAGCAAACTTGGGAACGACTACGGTGCACGACCGGGCATCAACGACCAGGCGCGGTCGGGAGGTACTATTTGTCTGATTTGAACGTCGTTAGGAAACGCCTCTAAGCTTCATCATGGCCTGAAATGTCTTTTTATTTCCGACTTGCTTAACCCAACAAGCTGATTAGCACGCTCGGGCGATCGGTAAGGAATCAGTAACCGGGGATGCGCACGGCACACTGGGAGACTCATTTAATAATTTGCATGCATTTTTCTTTCTCCTTTATATTTCTTCTCTCTCCTGCCACTATCTTGAACTTTGCATTTCACCGTCATCAACTACCAACGGGATTACATGCAAAATGCTCAACTTCAGCTTTTTCCAAATTCAAGACCACCATCTTGCCCCCTCTACCCCACCTTCTCCTTGTGTTTTCTGTATGAACAACAAGAAGAAAACACAGGAAAAAGCATAGGATTATTATGAATGGAGTTCTTCTGGATCATCGACATGCAGCCTGCGCTATTATAGCTTTATTGCAACGAGTTTCCTGGGCAGCAACGAACGGCGACAATGACAAGCTCTGCTGATCTCGGCTTCATCTCTGACTCTTGATTTGAGTTGATTCTTGTCATTTCGGGACGCGACTTCAACTTTTGCCTTTCCCTGCACGCTGATAAGCGGATGACGACGACAGCGCCGGCATCGCGGCGGAGGGTGTCGGTGGTGCATAATGAAGGTGATGACGATGAAGAAGCTGGGGGCGGTCACGGTGGTTGCATGCATTCGCTGCATTTCCTTCAAGCCGGAACTACCCTCTACCCCATGCCATTCACTTAACTCGACGGCGATCACCACGCCGGAATTCCAGTCAGAGAGCGTTTAGGGAGGGGTCCGAAACTGAGGTCACGAATTATGATGATGATGATGTCGAGTTCGCATCTGATACAGAGGCTGAACTAGGTGTTTACATTGGATGCAATTACAGATGATAAAACCTATATACATCTACTACAAAATAAAAGAAATAACAAATTGCCCGCTGGACGTTTATCAACGGCGGAAAAGCCTGTAAGAAAGGCGATGATGCAGCTGAATGAAGATGACAACTCAGGCTGCATGTTGAGAGGAATCTGGAAGCCAAAAGACAAATATGAGTTCTACTAAATCTCAGACATGGTAAAAACAGAGTGAGTGATGGAGTGGTTGGGGCTCCTGTCTGGTAATTCGAGCACCTGGGTTCGAACCCCACTCCATTTCCAAAATTTGTAGTAATTTCTAGTAATTTCTTGCAAATTCTAGATATTCCAGATTTTCTCCCAATTCCCAGAATTTTGGAGTAATTTCTTGCAAATTCCAGATATTCCAGATTTTCTCCCAATTCCCAGAATTTTTTGTAGCTCTTGCTCTTTGCTTGTTGGTAAAAACGTAACTCTTTGTCACGGTCCCCACAGACGGCGCCAAAATGATACTGTTAATACCCGTGTACGTAGGATGTATGTATGTAAGTAATGTGTATGAACAAGGGAGATATAGCTCAAAGTGGTATTTTATTCATATGTGTTCTTCTTGCATGTTTAGAGAGAAGGGAGAGCCTTAGCTAGAGAGAGAGTGTGTAGTGGAAGTGAAAGGGAGGACCCCCCCCCCCCCCCCCCCCCCCATAAATGAAGGGTTAAAAGCCCTTATATAGGTCAACCCAAGTCGGGTTTGACCTTGACCCGAACCACCTTGACCCAAACCGTTTGACCCGACCCAAATAGGAGTACGGAGCGTACGGGGAGCCTGAACCCGGGGTATATTCCCCATCAACAGTAGATGAACATTCAACCCTAATAGAGATTAATTCTTCTCAACAGTCTACCGGCTACCCATCTCAGGTAAAAGTAAAGCTACAACCAAAATAAGTTTACCGAAAGTAAAGGGATTCTACAAGACCCAACATAAGTTAACCTTACAATCTTCTCAAAATTAAAAGTCTAAAAGAAAAGAAAGTTAAAGTATTTAAAGGGTTCATCAACAACCCAACAAAACACCTAACTACAAGCATAACAAGTCAAATCTACACCGAGGAAAGTATGAAACCTATCACAACTACGGCGCGCTCTCAAAAGCAATCAAAATTCTGGACCTGAAAAAAAGGTAAGTTCAAAACATATAGAAAACAGAAAATTAGCATAGAAAACATATAGAAAACAAACATTCACATAGGTAATAAAACACTAACTCACACACATAAGCATTAGCATAAGCTAAAGAAGAAGAAGACTTAGTAAGGTTATACATATACATATCCTCATGAGAGTAAGGAACTCACATTGTAAAGGACTATACATATCTTTGTCCATATAGATATCTATATATACAATCATTAACAACTAAAATCTTTTCATAATGGTATTCATACATATACATAACGAAGTATAAGATATTACCCACAATATTGTTTAAAACGTAAATATAGTTATAGATATGGAGGATCTTATAAACAATTCTCATCACAATTCCAAGTATCACAATCACAATCATAGAAGAACTCAATATTACAATAGTGGGGCAGGGACATCATCTCAATGAATCCTTAGTGAATAGTAATCCTCCACTGAACACACACCAAAACCCCCATTTTTCCAAATGGAAACAGGACTCGCTACCTTAAGTGTGCCCACCCCCAATTTGGGATTCCAAGCCCAAACGAGTAGTAAACTAGTGCTAGCAACCCAGGATGTTTTCAACCAGGTTACCCATCAAATAAGTATCCGGGATATTTTCTACCGGATACACCTCCAAAATAGGGTCAGAGCCCAAACTAGGACCGGAGTCCATAATCCACATATCCTCCAAAAATACGTATATTTGTATAATTTATCCTTTCAAATAGTATACAAATATAATACTCAATATTGTTTGCCTTTAGACTATCCAAAATGAATTTCAAAAAATCATAGGGTACATATCCCATTATCATACATACTCTCAAAATATGATTCACAACTCCATAGTTATAACATAGGCTGTATATATAATCTAAAAGTGTAAGTGTACATATACACAATTCAATCTCAAGTAGAACATTCCTTAACCAAATATAATATAAACCTCATAACACACCTTATGTAAGTTTTAATATAGAAGAAAAACATTTACATATATATATATATATATATATATATATATATATATATATATATATATATATATATATATATATATATATATATATGTATGTATATATATATATGTATGTATATATATATATGTATGTATAGGAAAAAGTTCCCGTGCGGCGGTGTTACAGAATACACCAACAGTGTTATCAACATGCACCAACAGTGTAAGGGAGACGCATCACAATGAAATGCAAAATATCACAGAATACACAACAGACCCAAAAAATACACCACATAACTCACCATACTCCAATGGTGTATTTTCGAACACTTTTATTGTGTTTTTACTCACGCCTAATGGTGTGTTTTTGGTGATGCGTACTTCACTTGTGTGCATTTTTATGGTGTATCTTCCTAACGTTGATGGTGTATATTTGTTGAACTATTGGTGACGCCGCACCGTCGCACCTAAGGACACCACCGCACCTGAACCTAACTTTATATATATATATATATATATATATATATATATATATATATATATATATACTATTTAAAAAAAAAAAAAAAAAAAAAAAAAAAAAAAAGGTCACGGGTCCCCGAATTCTGCCAAAACCAAAAACAGTGAGCATTTGGGCACACATTTCCCTTGCGCCACAACAATTCACATACTCCAAAGCCACAAACCCAACTTAAAAAACAACAATTCCTCCAACATTTTAAGCATAGATAGAGACTCATTTTAAAAGCTAAATAGCACAATATTTGATATCAACCCATAAATTTTTAGTAATAAAACAGTATATTTATCACAATAAACACAATAATCAAAACTATGGCAAAATAGATTTAGACATCTATGAAACTTTACCTCCAAGGATATTATCCTCAAGCAAGAATCCCCTCCTAACACTTAGGCTTGGCCTCTAGTATCTCCTCCACCTTACACCCAAATAGAACCACATACACAATATATTAACACAGACACAAACAACATATGTAAACAAAAATGGAGAAGAAGTTAAGAAATTTGGGGATGAAGAGTAAAGAATGAAAGGAGAGAGAAGACAGTAAAGAATGAAAGGAAAGAGAAGACTTACAATTTTGAAGGTTGAAGCTAAAGAGATTTTGGTCTTCCACCTCTCTAAGAGGGAAGTGTGGGGAGAAGACAACAAGAGGGGATTGAGACAAAAGGTTGTGAATAGGGGATATGAATACTTAGGGGGCATTTGGTTCAGGTTATATAAGATAACCAAGGTTATATTTACTTGGTAATATAAGATTCTTGTGTTTGGTTCGGGTTATATAACTTTCCCAATGAATGTCAGATAACCTCGGCATTAAGTTTTTAGCTATTGGAAGGGAATGTGAGATACCCTCCAATTTCTTAGGTAATCTCACATTCCCTTGTCTTATTACTAATGTTGGGCTTTGTATTTTTTAATCAATTTATCTTATTATCGTTGTCTTATTTACATATCTTAGTTTTAAACCAAACACATGAATCTAACATTCCCAGTAATCTAACATTCCCAGCAATCTGACATTCCCTAAGGTAATCTAACATTCCGTGAACCAAACGCCCCCTTAGGGTTTAGATCTCTAGGTTAAAATGAATGATAGAGATTAACTCTAGGTTAAAATGAATGATAGGGATTTAATCTCTAGATTGTAGGGAATATTCTAGATGAATAGGAAGAACATAGGTTAGAAAGGTTGGGTTGAAAACATTGGATTAAATATTGAATCTTATGTTGAACCAATATAAGGCTTATGATTTAAAAATGATATGGGTTTGAGTTTAAATAATAACAAAAATAGTATTATCATTAATAAATTGTTGGGCACAAATCCTCCTATACTTATATTTGTGAGTTTGCCAATTATCCCTCAAAAATGACACCCCTATCAGCCATTGATCTGAAATCATGTGGCTTAGATTTTTTGATATAACATTTTGATTAATTTTTTTTTTTTCAATTGCCATCAATTTGTAATCAAATTACAAGTTTGCTATATAATATTATATTTGTCCACTTTTAGTGGTAGAGCACGTTTTCCCAAACTAAGTTTTTGACTTTTTTAGAACAATTTCGTCAACTCATCTCTCTCTTTCTTCTCTACACTCTCTGCCTGGTTTTCCATCATCTTCATTCCATACGCATTTTCTTGGAACACAAAGCCATTGAAGAGCACGGGAGGAAAAAGCGTGATGTACAGGTTGGTTCTCTTGCTCTCCCCTGTTTTCTTGATTTCCCATCCCGTGTCAGATGTGTGCGTGTGGGCATTTGGTTCTCTTTGACAAAAGTTGTTGAATTGGAGGAGTGTAAGACTGGGTAATTCTCTGTTGAAGTCATACTGTGAAGGAAAAGTATAAGGGTGAGGACTTTGAAGGTTGAAAAAAGACTAGGATGGTGAGTGCCATTGATTGTTCGGAGTGCCCGGATCTATGTGGATTCTTAGTTGTTGAAGCTTATCCAAAGGGGTACTCTTCCAAGATCCCCTCTGATTTTGTCCTTTTCCTGGGGCTTGACTTCATAGATTGGTAATATATCCTGTGTTGCTCTTATACCTATATCTATATTTATTATTTTAGATATACACCCAAAAAGTATTTAGAGATCTAGATATATTTGTTTTTATTGGACTTCAATAGAAAGGGACCATGGACCCATACTCACACAAGTATGGGAGTAGCCTACTGGACCCAATCTTTCACAACAAAGGGGATCGAAAATTCATTTGCTTAATATGTTTCGTTATAAGAGCCCTTTCCGGTTTAGCTCCCCCATTTCCTTTCAGCCATCTTTTTGGTCTTCTCGCGATTCCTCTCAAGGTAAAGTTTTCTTTTGCCATCTATCGGTGAAGAGCATGAACCCGTTAGGCAGGAGTAAAGGAGACGGCCTTGAGTATTATTATAATATGATATGGTCTACTCGTGTTACGGATTGAGATCCTTTTGAGTGAATTTTAGCTGTTTCTAAAGATTAATTAATGCTATGTTATATTTATTTGAGTTATGCTATATTTATTTGAGTTATTTTTATATGTTAGTTTCAATTTCGGTATATTGTATTTAATGGATGTTTGGATATTCAATGAAGTATTGCTGACATATACTTAATTTTTGAACTTGTGACTTCTCATTTGGGAGTGTCACACCGTTTAACAAGGTAGCTGGTCCAGTGAACTTAATTTGTGTTAATTAATCAACTAATAAATAGAATATCAGTCCAGATGTTAATCTAAAATAATTTTTAATTATTTTTTGTAGGTATGGTCGTTGGTGAAGAGGTTTGATTAATCACAAATGTATAAATCTCATATCATTATATTTATTAGTAATGAAATTGCAAGTGTTAGAAAAGTTAATGTTAGGTTAGGACTTCCAACAATCACAAGTAAGCAATGAGTAAAAATTTTGATTTGGACTTTTGATATTCAAACAGACTAAGACAACAAAATAAAAGTCATTAGAAATTGCTTCTTTATAGGATGTCATTTGAGAACTTGGGACGGTAGAATCACTTTATTTCATTACTTTGACGTGTATAACGCCGCATAGCTATAATATGAACCTAACATGGCTCATAGGAGTTTCTTTGAAGTGGTGGCAGGCTCGATCGGTGTACTAGAGAACAATGAAATGATAAAATCTAAACTTATAACTTGTATCATGTTGCTTACTAAATAATAATGTAGTTATGTATGTTTTAGTTTTTCATATAACAATTATTAAATTTATATATTTATCATTTAAAAATTAGAACATATTAATTGATCGTTGGGCATGGCGTTTCGCGCAAAGCGCATGTCCATGACTAGTAATAATATAAAGTAGAGTTAGTAAAATCCTAAAAATAGTTTTGGTTTGGATTTTGGTGGTAGAATAATTCATTTTGAAATCATAAATATTTGGATATTAGGTGTCAAAAAATTTTTCATTTGTATGGATATTTTTATGAAGGTAATACTAGTAGAAATTTCAGTGTATTACATGTATCGTTAATATTTGGAGAACTAGTGTCAAATATTGTACAATTAATTTTTGGACACAATTCATTATTGCTTAGCAAAATATATTTCCAGTGCACTGAAAATCAAAATTAAAATGATGTCAAAGCACATTAATTTCATAGAAATATAAAACTAAGGAAAATACTGAATATTGTAAGAATAACTCAAGTTAGAGATAATTGTGAGGCAAATAATAATTGCGGCAATGAGTTAATTCTATTTTTTTTGTCTTAGATTTATCGGTGGCAATCTACTCTAAGTCTTTTTTTTTTTATTATAACATCTACTTTTGGTCATAGTATTATTGTGGCATGAGCATTTTTGGTCCTTTATCAACAAAACAGTTTAAATATTGTTAAATACAAGGACACTTTGGTATTCAATTATAGATTTAAAAAAAAAAAAGAAAACAAGCATAAAAAATATAATGGTTCAACTTACTTTGTATATATATAAAAAAAAAAAAAAAGATTAACATGTCTTTGTATTTAATGACATTTCAACGATTTTTTTGAAGGACGACTAAAAATAGTCATGCCACAATAATACTATGACTAAATGAGGATGTTCTAATAAAAAAGAATTAAAAGTGGACTGTCACATATAAATATAGGACCAAAAATAGAATTAACTCTTGCGGCAAAAAAAAATGCAAAGTAGAGAACAAGTCATAAAGAAATCAAATAAAAAATTAAGACAAATACAATGAGAGTATGAGCTGAACGGCGAAGCATGCAGCAAATGACTTGGAGTTACTTTTTTTATTATTATTATTATTATTATTATTATTATTATTAAAAAACAAACGATATTTCGTTCAATTTTTTACCAAATTGTTCGATATACAATAATCTATTACCGTTCAGTTGTTTGATATATTACCGAACCGTATAGTTCAGTTCGATTCGATAAAATCAAACTGAATTGTCCACCCATACTCTAGATGTTTTTTAAATTAATATTCAATATTTTAGTATTAACTATTAAAATATTAAGTAGTTTATAATTATCAAGTCTTAAAAAATAAAAAAATTCCAAACAAATTAAAAAAAAATACACGGGGGCCTAGGCGCCGATTAATCGACACCTAGGCGGCCCCAGCGCGCCCAAGTAACGCTTAGCGATTTTTTCAACCATGCTTATAATTAAAAAAAAAAAAAAGTAATACTTTTAAATCAAAATGCATGTAAAAGTATTACAATTTCCTTATAAGTAACAAACACTTTATTCTTGATTAGTATTACATTTTCTAATATAAGTATTACATTATCATTTTGACCTGACCCATCAACTATCTAATCCTTCTAAATCTAGCTCCTCTTGCATCTGCCTGGATGGTTTAGCTCATCCCTTCAAGATGTATTTCAAAATCTTAGTCCCCCAAGTAGCCGTTTACCCAAGAATGACTAAATAATTAGCACACTTGTTCCCTTCTCTCAACACATGAGTGAATACCGTACCTCACGGTCAAAGTTTTTGCCTATTAAAAAATATATCTCTTAAGTATAATAAGTATAGAGTTAATACTCAAAATAGTCCCTCGACTATGTCGTAATTACCAATTTAGTCCTCGACTATCATTCTTACCCAATTAAGTCCTCAACTATACAATTTTTACCCAATTTAGTCCTTTGTCAATTTGACTGTTTGTTGACTGTCAAAAGTGGAAATAAAGTTGTAATTTTACAAGTTTTCTCCTTCCTCCTCATTTAGCAGCGCCAAACCATGCAGCAATAAGCTCCGGTTGGGTTCTAAACCTGTCAGTATCGAAGTAGTGGTTATGCATCGGATAGCCCATGAATTTGATTTCCAACGATTTTTTGACGATCGAAATCTGATCGGAGTGTATTGCTGTATGGTTTGGCGCTGCTAAATGGAGAGGAAGGAGAAATCTTGTAAAATTATAATTTTATCCCGACGTTTGACAGTCAACAAACAGTCAAATTAATACAGAGGACTAAATTGGGTAAGAATTGTATAGTTGAGGACTAAATTGGGTAATAATTGTATAGTTGAGGACTAAATTGGGTAAGAATTGTATAGTTGAAGACTTAATTGAGTAAAAGTTACATAGTTGAGGACTTAATTGAGTAAGAATGGTAGTTGAGGACCAAATTAGTAATTATGGCATAGTTGAGGGACCATTTTGGGTATTAACTCATAAGTATATTACAATAAGGTTAATTAGAAATATTTGAGTTTAGTTAGGAATATACTATTTACACTAAACATTTTGGTACACAATAAGTATTAATTCCTAAAATATTTATAAACAACGTAATGTCCCTATAGAAAAGCATACTCATAGGACACAACATAACAACAACAACAACAAACCAGTTTTTCAAAAAAAAAAAAAAAAAAAAAAAAAAAAAAAAAAAAAAGAAGAAGAAGAAGAAGCTAATGTGACAATGCTAAGTGCCAACACTTAAAATGCCATCAAAATGCCATTTAAAATGCTTATTAGCTAGAAGAGGAAGTTTCATTTACGAAATTACCTAATTATCTTGGGGTTTGACATTCAATAAATGGAAAGTGTAACATAAAATCTAATGTGACAATGTCACTAAAATCATAGTAATATATGTGATTAAATTAAAAGTTGAAGAGTAAAGATGACAATTTTACAACAATCATTTCATTAAAAGTAAATTAATTTACTCCAGAGTTAATACTTAATATAGTGCTCGACTATAGTGGGTTTACTCAATTTAGTCCTAAATGACTTTTTGTGTTCAATTTAGTTATCGACTTTGATGGTTTTACACAATTTAGTCCTTTGTTAAAAATTATGTTAGTTGACTGTTAGAAATAAGATCCTAAAGGTAATTTCTCATCCTTCATCCATTTGGGATGATTCCTTCTTCTCCCCTTTATTAAGATCCACACACAAATATAAATGATTCCTTCTTCTTCCCCTTATTTATTTATTTAGGGTTGAAGTTGGTTTAGAGATGGAGATCTCCATTTATCTCTGTGTGGGTCTTAATAAGAGAAAGGAGAAGGAATCATCCCAAATGGGATGAAGGATGAGAAATTACCATTATGACCCTATTTATATCAGTCAATTAACATAATTTTTAACAAAAGACTAAATTGTGTAAAACCATCAAAGTTGATGACTAAATTGAGCACAAAAAATAATTTAGGACGAAATTAAATAAAATCACTATAGTCGATGACTATATTGTGCATTAACTGATTTATTCCTTAAACCAAACGGTTTTGCACCATATAGTAATAAGGTTGCTTAATTCATGAACAAACAATAAGCTTAAGGGGGGAGGGGGTAATACTTGTAAAATAAAATAAAATCCTAATCAAATGGTGCAAGTTTTAAAATATAGACACTACATTAGAAAATTGTGATACTCATAGAAAATGTGCTAATTTTGACCTCAGAATATTTTGATGTTGTTGGGAGCTTATGAGAAAGTATTTAATGATAGAAAGTTAATGAAGGTGTTTGGTAAATTAAATATTGTTAGTTGATTGGGTTAGTACGCTTATTAGTTGATAACATTAGTTAATTGTAAAAAAGGTATTTGGTAAATTAGTCATTAACTAATAGCTGATTACATGAAAAATGACATTTTCAAAAGGCTGATTGAATACGTTACTTTGAACAATTTTTTAAATTTTAGTATTTTAGAGCAATAAACTGTTACGAAAAATTAATTAATCAAATACTCATATTGATTGTTTAACCAAATCAAACAATTAATAATGATCAAATAAGTCAAAATTGACTACTAAACTAATTATGTTACTAAACCTGGCCAATATAAAAAAAATCCAATCTCTTTGCTTGCCTTAATACAGCCAACACTTGGAAACAAAACTAAACCGGCCGGCTTTGGACACTAACGCTGTCTCTACATCGTTACACCAAACAAACTCTGTCCCTTTGCTACCAAACCATACATTTGTGCCCACAAAAACACCAAAATAAGACACTCACCCCTTACATCACCCCGGCCGGCCTTTGACTATTATCCCAAACCAAGTCCTCTAAGCACACCATTATCCCAGCAAAGCAAAGTTGAAGAAGAACCAACAGGCATTGCATTTTTTTTTTTTACCAGGATGCGCGAAACCTGAATTCGCGAACGAACCATGATGTTTGGATGGCTGTTAGTTTGGATGTTCAGCGTGTACTCAAGCTATGCCCAGCAATACTATGATTCAACACTATGTTCTGACACCTCAGTCTATCCAGGTACGAGGTATACCTGCAATTCTAGCCGGGGGTTTTCGTGCCCGACATTCTTGGTTTACAGAGCTAGCCATGATGTTCGAACCATATCCACTATCTCTTCCTTGTTTAATATCCCCCCTGCAGAGCTCCTGTCTCCCAGGAACAACGTCACGTCAGGTTCCGAGATCCTTGAACCGGGCAGAGAAGTCCTTATCCCGGTTCAGTGTTCTTGCTCGGGCGGATTCTTTAGTGCAAATTTTAGCTACACACCCCTGGAAAACACTACATTCGGGAGCATTGCTTGCGAGGTTTTTGAAGGTTTAGTGAAACCCGTGACGCTTGCTGAGGAAAACCCGTCCAAGGTTTCTTGGGACAAAGATTCACTAGGGTCGGGGACTAAGGTTGTCGTGCCATTAAAATGTGCATGTCCTTATAAGTCTTGGGGGCTTAAGTATCTTGTCACGTACCCTATAGTTTCAGGGGACGATGCAGATTTATTGAGCAAAAAGTTCAGAATTCCTATCAAAGAAATATGGGACATTAACAGTTTAAGTTTCAAGGATACAATCTATCCAAACACAACCATTCTCCTACCTCTCAAATCTGAACCGTCCATTAATTTCAGCGTTTCCAATTCTGAACCTCCCTCTCCAGGGTTTCTCCAGACATCACCAGTGGAAAAACCAGGCAGAAACCTGAGACTTAAGAAACTATACATTTCAGGGTCAGTCATAGGTTTTTGTCTCCTCGTCGCCACGCTAGTTTCGTGTTCTTTATACCTGAGGACTTTAAGGAAATTCAGGGCTGCCAGGGCTCAATCTTCAATCCGGAGAACTACATCATTTTCGACCCCGAGAAGCTCCCCGAAATCGGGGCCAATGGCGAGAAGCTCGACGAATTCATGCCTGTCGCCTGATCTTCTAGCGGGGCTGAAATACTCTCTGTGCAACTACACAGCAGAAGAGCTGAAGAACGCCACGAGAGGCTTCGACGAAGATGCTAAGGTGAGCGAGAGCGTGTATAGAGGGTGGGTTGATAACTCACAAGTGCTAATAAAGCAGATGAGATTTGAGGGCACAAGGCAAATCATTGATGTCCATTCAAGGATCAACCATGTTAACATTGTGAGGCTGCAGGGGGTGTGCTATGGCGAAAACGATTTCTCCTCGTGTTTCCTCGTGTTTGAATTCCCTGCAAATGGGAGCCTGAGAGAGTGCTTGTCGAACCCCCCGGCTTCCCTCAGGTGGCACGGGAGGACTCAGATCGCCTTCGATATAGCCACCGGGCTTCATTACCTGCACTTCTGCACAATCCCTCCTTATACTCACATGAATGTTAACACCAAGAACATTTTCTTGACTCAGAACTGGAGGGCTAAGCTGACCGTTTTTGCAGCCGTGCCATCACCTTCATCAGGGGGGAGTATGGGGAGCCTAGGGGGGTGGGTTTTGCCGGAACATCTTGTTTATGGGTCTGAGGAGTTGGATAAGGGTGATATTTTCGCCTTCGGGGTGGTTTTGCTTGAGCTTTTGTCAGGCAAAGATGATGGGGATGGGAGGTTGGTGAGAGATTCCATTATGTTTGTGGGAGGAGGAGGAGGTAGTGAAGGGGGGTGTTTTGAGCAGCTTAGGAATTTCATGGATCCAAACTTGAAGGAAGATTATCCTCTTGCAGAGGCTTTGTGTTTAGCTGTTTTAGCTAAAGCTTGTATTGAGGATGACCCCAGGCATAGGCCTTCCATGGATGATATTATCAAAATTCTTGCCAGAATGGTCTGAGGTACAACAAGAATAACAAAACTCAGATCCAGTTTTCAGGTTCAAATGCCATTGGCTGAGTACTAGTAGTTATTCAGAAGTGATGTTCTAAGACTTGAATAGCATTTATTTTCAGCCACTTTATTTATCAATCAAACATTTTCAATACAATTTGATTTATTTGTTATTGAAATGTTTTACACCAAACTAATACTCTGCACTACACTAATCCTAACTCCACAAGACCTTTCACCTAGAGAGGTAAATTGCAAGTCAATTGAGCATTTTCTCCATATACATGTTCTCAGTGGAATTCGAATCGAACCTCCACATTGCTGCCTCCCGTCATGACCTTTAAGTCAAACTATGAACCAACTACATTAAGGCCCGAGCTCCTCTTTCATTTTATATTTTGCTGAAGTTGTGTGAAACTAATCCGAATTTTTTTTTTTAAACATGGTCAATTAGCAATTGCTTATTAATTGTCTCTATATATTGAGTTTTAAGTTTTTGAAAATGAAAGATAATTACATAAATTTTGGTCACATCGAGTCAACAAAATGAGAAAAGAAAAATTGCCAAGCCCTTTATAAGTTACTTGAGGCTCTGTTTGGCGTAATTTATTTTAGAGTTTATAATTTATTTTAAGTTACATTTATTTAGAATTATCCAAATCATTTTCCTTGACAACATAACTAAGAAAAATTATACCGTGATTCCGTGAACTATGATTTACATTACATGGTGAATCACTAATATATATATATATATATATATATATATATATATATATATTCATTTTTAGTATACTACATACTTTCAAGTAGTGCACTAAAAATACTAACTAAAAATAAGCTTACAATATACTAAAAATAACATGTATGGAAATATAATGAATTATTAATAATATAATAAAAAATCTATAATACATTTACATAACTAAATCACCTTTTAAATAACGCAAATTATTCTGTGAACTTGGATTCACCTTGCAATGTGGACTTGGATCTAAATGTTCACAATTTACATACTAAATGTTTATAATTTTGCTTTTAAAAATTTAAAATTTGTGTACTACGAACACACAATGTTAACATATATGTAATTGATTACCTTGTTTTGTATTCACAAGTTCCTTTCAAATACTGCAGTTACACAATATTAACAGATCAGGATTTGATGACCATGTATTGTATTCATACATTCTCTTCTACAGTTATTATGTGTTTTGAATTAGAAACACAATTTATATTTTACAATTGCATAATTCCAATATTGAAAATACACAATTTATACGTCGTCAGGGTCCACCTTGCAAGGTGGACATGGTCCATGTATAACAACTCTCTAAATAATATGAAGGCCTTCTATTGGACAGATTTTGGTCCAGTTAATTGGGCCTTGCCTGTTACTTATACCTTCCTGAAGGCCCAGAAATTGGGCCTATACAAAATACTTTTCGTTTTCGGGGTGGTTTGCCAGACAGCTGACGTACAGGGGCTAGAGAGCTGAACCCAAAATCCCGACGGGATGGGAGACAACGGCGCTGCCACCACCGCAACTCCACGGCCAACCACCTCCACCGACGAAGATGCGCTTCTCAAGCAATTCTTCGCCGAAGTCAGTGAGGTTGAGCGCGACAACGAAGTCAATAGGTTCCTTTCTTCTTTTCACGTACATATCGTATTAATTTCTTGCTCGCGTCTCTGCAAATTATTGCTTCTACCTCTGTTTGGTAAGCTCATGTTCGGATATGTATTGGAGTGTGTTACAATTGTACGCCAATGAAATGAATTGATAAACACACATGTTTAGAGCCTGAAACAGATTTCTTCTAGATGCTGAAAAAGAAAACAGTGTTTTACGGAGTAATTAATTTATGAAATTGAAGAGGAAAAGGTTGATAAATTGATATTAGGTTAGTGAAAATTGCGTTATTCTGTAATTTCACTACTCTTGTTTAAGTAGTTTCTACAAATTTATGGATGCTTTTGTCTGATGAATGAAGTTTTAACTACAGCCATAATAGGGTTAGAGAGGTATCTTACCCTGCTGCTGGCTGGCAATCAAATAAACATAACCAATGTTCAAAAAAAAAAAAAAAACCATATTCTCCCATAATTTAAATAATGCTAAATGTATATTTTCATATTGAGTAATTCAAAATCATTGTTCATTTTCCTAAATAATAATAATAATAATAATAATAATAATAATAATAATGATGTTAGATATAAACATAGTCTAACATTCAATTGAATATAAAGTCTACGAGAAACCTGACCTTGTAGCGGAAGTAGTATTAGAGATCACAATACTCCAGCCATAGTTGATGTCTTCTTGTTGTGTTACCTCTTGAACGGTATAACGTTAGCCGTTTTGTCTCATACTTGACTCAGAACCTTATATATAAGATATACTGGAAAATCCAACAAATAATAGTAATAATTAATGCTTATCCTAATTTTATAGTCAATGTACTTTTTTTTTTTTTTTCTTCTAAATTTTAACAAATTAGATATATCTCTGGTATAAAATTCTATGTCATTAACTATACTAAGCAAAGTTATCAAGGCGGACTTTCTAGGCGAGATACAACCAACTTGCCTAGTCAACTAGGCGACCGCCTAGGCGATGAGTATTAAATAAATAAAATATATACATATATATTGAAAATATCTTGTCTTGGGCAACCTATTTACTTCAAGTTGCCTTTAGTAGATGAATAGTTTTTCCTAGAATAATGAGAAGTTTAGTATTTATTGTATATTGGAAATATCTTGTCTTGGGAAGCCTTTTTGAACCCTATTTACTTCAAGTCATCTTTGAGAAGATGAATAGTTTTTCCTAGAGTAGTGAGAAGTCTAGTATTTATTGATAACATGTCAGGGTGAGGTAGTGGGCTTTGCTCGGAACAGGAGGACGACGCCGGAGCTCGAACCGTGCCGCCATCGGAGCCTCCATGCGCCGCTGCTCCGACGCCACGCGCCGGCGTGTGAGGCAGATTCCGGCGTCTTCTCCGGCTAAAAATTACACCGGTCAACTCGCCTTAGTGTGTAGGTTCTGCCCATGTATGTCTTGTGGGGTTTTGGGTTGTATTTTGCACTTAGGCGAGGCGAGCGGACTAGGCGCAAGGCCGTGACCGCCCAGACGCCTAGGCGACGCCTTGATAACCCTGATACCAAGTCATTGTTTGTACCTTGATAATTGTGCCAAAGTTAAAGAACACATTCTCTCTACTCTAGAAATGGAAAACTACTTGGGACTTTCAAAATCTTGGCTCTGTTAATTGTCAGTCGCCCAATTTTAGATCAGGCATATTAAAATATTAAGGGTGCTGTACCCAAAAACAATTACCATTAATACATAATACTTTGAAGTTAATGAGTTCTCTTCAAAAGTTATGTTCTCATAGTCATGGTTATTTGCTGCCTGCTTGTTTCTTTCAGTAGAATGATCTACATGAATTTCATCTTTCTTTTCCATTTACCTATTTCAATTAGAATAAGGGCAGGGTTTTGCTTATCCATTTATACAGAATACCAACTCCTTTGACCATTCATGCATATATATCTCTTTTTTGTCTGTTGATTTTAAAATACAATTCTGCATTGAATCATTGACTATCTATGTTACTATCATTTTGCAGGATACTTTCATGCTTTAAATTAAATCCATTTGAATATCTTAACCTATCATTTGATTCATCCCTAGAAGAAGTAAAAAGACAATACCGCAAGGTTTGTACCTTGAGGAACTCAAAGTAATATTTGTCTAATTCATTTATAATTGACCTAATGTACTTATGTAACTTATATGTGTAGTTATCTTTGCTTGTTCACCCGGATAAATGCAAGCATCCACAAGCAAAGGAAGCTTTTGGTGGTAAGAAATGTGTTTTTTCCCACTCATTTCATAAAATTGTAATTGTGAGTCTTTTTTTAGTGCAAGGAGCTCTTCAATTTACTCACCTTGTGATCATGTGATTTCATTCTATTTTTTTGATGGGTAATGAGCATATTGACATTTTGGAACTTGTGTTTCCTTGTATGTCATTCATAGACTTCCTTACCTCCATAAAAATATTCAATTTGGATCATGTATCTTCAGCTACTGTCATGTTAGTTATTGCATGAAATGTGAAAGCCTTGTCCACAGTTTTTTCTTTTGCAACCTCTTGAGTTATAACAGGGGTAACTTACATCTAAAGGATTAAATTCCTTGACTTGTAGTACATAATATTATTGAGGCATATTTATTAAATCTGTGCTAATGAACCAAAATGGAAGTGGAGAAATGGTTGACTTTCCGGGTGTCATCATTTGATGTTTGTGGAAGGTTATGGTCCTATGGATTATAAGTATTTCATTACGGAGTATAACACTTCTAGTATCATATAGCATGCAAACTTGCTATATTCTGAGTACCATTTTTAATGTGATATAGTCTGAGAAATTAGAACTCGTCAAAATAAATAAAAGGAGCCTGAGGAATTAGTAAAAAGCACAGGTGATCTTTTGTTTAATATTTGGCTCACTACTATGGTGCTTAAGTGGACTAGCACAAGTCCTCAATTGTTCTTTTGTTGTGTACTTTGCAGCTTTAGCAAAAGCCCAACAATTATTACTTGATCCACAAGAGAGGGATTATGTTCTGAACCAGGTTAATGCTGCAAAAGGTTTGTTGCACCCCATGTTCCTTACATGTTGATTGCAATACTTATTTTTCTTTCATCTTTATTTCTTTTAGCCTTCTTTTTTGCCTCATTTAAGATGGGTGTCAAAGAAACTGATGTATTTTCTACTTATTGTATTTTCTGTGATGAGGAGAGGAGAGGGGTGTTGGGTGTCCTACTTGGTTTTCTTATAAATCTTCCTACTTCTATTTTGTGCCAAATCTTCTTACTGAAAATACTGCCTTTCGTATGAGTGCAGAGGAACTAAAATCAAAGTGGAAGAAGCAGGTTAAGAAAGATACAGCTTCTAAGTTGAAGTCATTAGTTTCTGAGGTAACAGTTATATTTAATCACCCCCCTGCCTGCTGTTGGCTATTTGGTATATCCTTCTTTTTTATTTGTTATGAAGTATTAACTGAGTTGGAACAGTGGTCTATGAAGCGGTTGGGTGCCCTTGGTGACTTTCCTCTGTTTTACTTGTTACTGCTCAAATTCTCTCCATGGCTGGCAAGCTTTTTAGGAGTTTAGAGAATTTTTTTTTTTTTTTAAATAAATATAAAAAACATAATCATTCTAGTTTCTTGGAAATTTTTTGGCTATACCATTCTAGTCTTGTATGAGTAAATTAGTGGGTTATTCAGGCTGTTTGTGGCTCAAATTAGAGCTTGAAAATGGTTTAAGTTAAGCTTGGTATCTGGCAGAGCTTCAGGATGGTTGATGTAGCTACTCTCCTGAGTGAATCACTAGAATTCATATTCTGTGGAAAAGGTCATGTTATTACAAATTCCAGTAGCATTGTATTAATTCTCTAATAAACTGTAGGTAATAGGATTATATAGCTCTTATTGTAGCTACTTGTGTTCTTGCTCCTCTGGCAAACACAAAGTGAGGATGGAGCTATTGGGAACTTAAATTACTAAGAACATCATTGAAACACAACTCCAAGGCAATTTGTATATATTGTATTCCATTTATATTTTCCTTTTCCTATAATGAGCATGTGGTACCACAACTTGAGATGCTTTGCATGCTTGTATGTATTATTTAATCATCATATGCTCTCTTAATGCTTACAGATTGCTCTTCTATCTGCTACTTATAATTATCCTATGAAAGACCCCTGTAAAGAAATTGGGTTTAAGACCATGATGTAATTTGGAATGCTTATATGGATATTCAGCTCTGAATATAAGTTCAATTACTTGTCAAACATGCTAGGGAAAGTTTGAACAAGAATATGAACAATCAGAAGAATTCCAGCAACAGCTAAAGTTGAAGGTTCGAGAAATATTAACCGAACAAGAATGGCGGAGAAGGAAAATGCAGATGAGGGTATATTACTAATCTGCTATCTAGCTGTTCATATTTGATCTTTATACTTTCACCTGAATATTCTTTCTTGTGACTACTTTGTAGATTTCTGAGGAGGAAGGTCGTTTGAAGAAGGATGAGGAAGAACAGAAAGAGATGTGGAAAAGGAAGCGTGAGCATGAGGAACAGTGGGAAGGGACAAGGGAGAAGAGGGTTAGTCTGCCATATATTATTTATTAATTTTATTGTTTTAGTTATTGACAAATTTATTAAGGGAATAATGGATTATTGTCTTTCCACCTAATATTATTAGCCTTTAAAGGAAATTTCTTTTATGTTCTGATTTAACATGGAGATACTGACATATCAAATAGAAAATAGAAAACAAGTTTCATGACTCTTCACTTGCTGTTGGAAGCCCAAGGGGTGGATACCTTTCCAAGAAACTTTTCAAATTTATCCCATATTTCTGCACAAAAACTAGGAATTAGTAGGGTAATATGAATTATAGAATCTTAATTCAAGGATTTGGGAAAGTTTTGAAGGAAGTGTGTCTTGTAAATGTTTTAAATCACTTAGGTGTCTTCGTTTAAGTTTAATTTTAGAATCTTTCGAGGACAAGAAGTTTGTGGTCTTTCTTTCTATCGAACAGGGCAACTCTCTAGGTGCTTGTCAATGAGCTTAAATCTGCTAAGGCTTTGAAGGTTTGGATCTTCAGCTTTGCAAAGGGGTTGAAAGGCTCATCTAAGCTAAAATTTGTTTCCTTTCTTCACTGTCTTTCCAGTTTCCAGAGGACACTATTTGTTTCCTTTCTTCACTGTCTTTCTAGTTTCCAGAGGACACTTTGTCCTCACGAAATAGCACCTTCACCTTTATTTCTCTTGTAATTATTGTTTTCCATAATCTGATTTCTGATTTTTTTTTTTTTAAACCCAAAGGTTCATCTTAGGTAAGACAACATAATATAGTATGTATCCCAAGTATTTCAAGACTGGAGGAGACCTTTGAAGAACATTAGTGAGACACAGTAAATCATCTCAGGAATTAGATGCCATGTAGATTCGATGTTATGGTTTTCAGTTCACTGCCTGTGGCTTTTTATATTCTGAGCACATTTGTGCTGCATCCATATTTCCATTCCCAAAGGTTGTGGTTGATATTGCATTTACATCTTAGGTTAGGTATAAAGATCATACAATTTGAAAAGACTCTTACTAGGTTTATTTTATTTGCATATTGGCTCTGATGAACTCTTGACAGCAGTATATATTATTATTATTATTATTATTATTATTATTATTATTATTTTAAAATAATAGTCCAGTGAAAGATGGGTTGTCCTCTGACTGTTTCTTTGTCACCAGGTGTCCAGTTGGAGAGATTTTATGAAAGGTGGGAAGAAGGTAAGATGAATTTGATAGATAGCGGTGTTGTATCATTTGAGTTATATGGGATGTGTGTAGGTTTGTTGCACCCATGTTTTACTAAGCAAGATGATGAAAATGTCTATATTTGAGTTGTTTGTTTTTGTATTTGGCAGGTGAAGAAAGGGGAGATCCGGCCTCCAAAGCTCAAAACTGAAGATCCCAACAAATCCTACGTTCAACGACCAGTGAAGCGAGGTTAAAGGTTCATGTACCAATTAATTGGATGTACTATGATGATTATAACTGAGAAAACTCTTTCATCCGAGTTTGAGAAAGCTCTAGCTAGAGTTGATGACTTTGATATATTTGTGTCAGTATACGAATATGTACACTGCTTGCTTTTGGCCTTTAATTACACTTAAAAAAGTATTAACCAATCACAATCATAATCATAATCTCACCCTCGGTGATTGCCAATTTTCCACGTGTTGTACTTGAATTTATAGCAAATGAAATTAATCGCGGGCAACAAACACAAATAAACTCATCATTCATCCTTTCTCGCATTATCTTAAAAAAGAAAGAAAGCTATTGTTATCTTCACACTGATGTTTGTACAAAAGGTAAAAAACAAATTACACTAAGGAACCCCCTCTATGATACAAATGATGCCCACCGAGACTCGCTCTACATTGTATGTAAGGACCTTAAATTCTCCTTTCAGCAGAAACAAAAATAATACACCTAAACTGGGAATATGAAAATTTTGAGACTAGAGGGCCAAAACCAAAACCAAAAGAGAAAAAAATAACAAAAAAAAAAACAAAACTCAAAAACTGGCACTAAGCACCAAATTAGAGAATGACCACACTTTTAACACTTCTAATCTGCCTGTGACAAATGTACAAGGGGAAACCGTCCCCGAGAACCCTCAATTGCTTCCATCATGATGAATACACAATCTGGCTAATCGTTGTGACCAGAATATTTCTGGTTGGAACTCGGAAGGCCTGTCTAATCCACGAATGACATCAAGTGCCTCAAAGCCTTTAGAATCTCATAGAAGGTGCACATCCCCAAGGCATTCTCCCAATGACATCATGCTAAGTACAGATCGCTAGAAATCCCCAGTGTTAGCATCAGCATCGGCCTGGAAGAAGTATAGCAAAACAATCTGGGACTAAATAATCTAAATCCAAGCAAGAGAACCTCGATCATTAGTGACTTGAGGACGACCTCTAGTTGGTGTAGGTGGCCGGTTAGCATTAAGCTCCTATTCCCATAGCAAAATGACAAAAAAACAAGATAAGCTATACATTGAGAAGAGATGCAACTTAAAGATCAATTAAATTTTAGGCCCATAATGACACCTGCATCCATGTGTCTTCAATATGCCGCTCAGGTGATGTTTCTGGAGATGAAATGGCGGGAGGCAGTGGATGAATTAGTTTTGGAACAACAACAAGATCTCTACCCAATACCAAGATTGCACCGGCATTATTAGCAGTACCTGCAGTAAGATGATTTTACTCATAAAAAATAAGAGTTCTGCGCCAGGTAAAGACCAAGTCAAAACAGCATTGAGCCCACCAACAACCTAAGTGTGGGGAGAGGACATACCACAATAATTGGTGGCCGAGAATAGAGTAATTAAATGCCCCTGTGCAAATCGTTCAAAGCCATCCATCACGCATTCATGCGCTCTAACTATCAATTGAAGATCATTGTTGTTGCAAAATTCCATCACACGATCAGGCTGCAAATGAAAAAATAATAGTTAAAATGAGTTATAACATGACTGCTAGAGAAAAAGACACCAAATGCAGCAGATATGTTCCATTATTTAACAAACAAACAAACCAGATCCACAAAGTATACTTTGGTGCCTGTCAAACACCAGCAGCAAGCCTGTCTCATAATGAGGCTACAAATGTGCAAATAGTGATATTCTTGGTCAAAATTTGTCAAAAAGTCAATTGCCTGAACTTTATCCATGAACAGGTCTAAAATACAGAAAAGACAAACTGACAGACAACATAATCCACAATTGACCAACTTACTGTAAGGTAGATATTGGTGCCCAAGTGCTCTACAACACACTTTGAAGAGAGAAAATATAGAAATTTAGGAAAAAGGTCAAAGTAGCCATCAAACTACACACAGAAATCACTGGAATTAAAAAAGTGCAATTATCCCCCGAACAAGCTAAACTTGTGCAATTATACCTAGATGACCTGTTCTCTCGATTAAATAGAAGGTCACCTGCTTATGTGGATTTTTTTTTTAACAATTTTATATTAGTTTTTAACAAATTAATGGTCCATGTCAACTCTTCTCTATTTTCTATTAACAAAAGTGGTGTTTAAAACAATATTTTTAATTTGAAATAGAATCCAAAAAAAAATTCTTTCTAACCAACTAATATGAAAATCAAACGAAAATGAAATTTAAAGAAAAAAAATACAGTGGTTTGCCCAAGCTCCATCTCCCAGATCTGGGAGACGAGCTTCATCTCCAACCAAATTTGGGAGACGAGCTTTTTTCTCCAATCTGGGCAACATGCTCCGTCTCCAAGTCCATCTCAAAGATCTGGGAGACGAGCACAATTTCTACTCTCAAGTTGACAGTGCTGATGTTGCTGACATGGACAGTTGCTAAACAAATTACTAAAACAAATTGCAAGTGTAGAGTTAATGAATCTTTAGCAATTAGAGAGAGAAAAAAAAACATAGTGGCATTTTTGTAAATAACTCAATTTACAATGCAACTATCAACACAATAGAGTGCAACTAAGCAAAGTTACAGATTGTATTTGTTCAATGCACTTAAATATATGACGGGTTCCCTCTATGGTGTTGTTAGTTGCACTCTATAGTGTTATTAATTGCACTTTAAAGTTCAAGTTATTTGCAAAAATGCCACCGCATTTTTTTCCTTCCCCCTTACTTTAAAGCCATTAGATCTTCCCAAATTGATGGCTAATCGTTCCTAGTTCTCTCCTACGGCAGTGTTTTTATTTGATCCAAATCCTCTCTCTCTCTATATATATATATATATATATATATATATACACACACACACACACTCCCTATGTCCCGAAATATCTGTCTCACTTGCTTTTAGAATGCATTTTAAGATAGTTAAAAAAAGTTAACTCACTTTCCATTTATGCCCTTGTACTTTCTGACAATTTTGCTACGTTTCTTCATCTTTCTTCATCTCATCTGTAGGCATTTCTTCAACAAATACTCCATAACTTCTTTGTCTTCTATTCTTTATACACTCAGTAATTATACAAAAATAAAGAACTTAATACTTCTAAAAATCATCTCTACATTTTCCTTGGTTATAAGAAGAGATAGAAAAACAGAGACTAATGATGTTTACAAATCTGAAGGATGGAGAGGATTGCTGCTGTTGAGCTGCAAATGTCGACAGCAACGAGGGTTACCGCCACAATCATGGGAGCATATGTAGGCGGCGGCGGCGTTACATTGGAAGCCACTAGTTGCAGAATAGATGGATGGGTATTTCAGAGAGATATAAAATTATGACGTGTCACGAAATTGATTGGAGATTGGGATGGTGGCAAACAGATTTAAGAGATGTGAAAGGAAGAGTAGGAATGGTTGTTGAGGCCCCATGTTGCCCATAGTTGTTTCTTAGATTTGGAAATGAAGAGCCAGAGGGAAGAAAAATGTACACCATATTTGTTCTTCCAACTAGACACGGTTCTTGAGGATATTAGTAGCAAATTTGGTTTGAGTGGATGACAACTATTAGGTATTAATGAGTATGGAGCAATTGTGGTAATTGAAAGGGTGAAGTGGTGAAATAAAAATATAATGATGTTTATTCTTGGAAAGTGGACAATATTTTGGGACGGACAAAAAAGGAAAGTAAGATAGGTAAAATGAGAGGGAGGAATACACACACACACACTTTAAAGTTTTTAATATTTATGAAACTCGCTACATGTTTTTTCTTCATTTTTCAACTATTACATCTACTAGATGGACAACCTAGATTTGTCAACACTTCTCACCCAGTGAGTGGTTCTCATAAGAGCCAAGACCAATATATATATATATATATATATATATATATATATATATATATATATATATATATATATATATATATATAGATTATTTATTTTTAAAATGTCACATAGAGTAACTGGCAAAACAGGTCATTTAGGTGCAATTGAATAATTTTAGTTTGTTCGGGGGTTAATGGTACTTTTTTTCAATTTTGTGGCCTAATTGCATTTCTATATGTAGTTCAATAGCTAATTGACTCTTCTTCCTAGAAATTTATGCACCACATTTGTAAAATTCCATGGAGTGCTTGCTAGGGGTGAGCAAGGATATGCTCCAATCTGCCTAAGGCGCACCCATCCACTCAAAGTGGATGGGATACGGATCCATTTAATGAAAGTCTACCACTAGTGGATTGGATGTGGATGTGACTTTTCAAAATCCACTATATCAAATCTGCTCCACTTAGGCTTCAGGTGCAGAGATGGGGTTTAATCTTAGCTATTGATCTAATCAAAATCAACAGCCCATATTGAACACAGATAACGCGGTGGCAATTTGGTCATTTTGCATCAAGGTCAGATTTAAGGTGCGTGGTTTTCCTTCTTAAGATGCGTGGTTTGTGTGCTTAAGGTGCATGATTTGTGTTCTGTGCTTAAGGTGCGTCGGTCTAAAGCTTTAGGTGCATGGTTTTCCTTCTTAAGGTGCGTGGTTTGTGTGCTTAAGGTGTGCCAGTTACTGAAACTCAAGGTGCGTCAGCCTAAAGCTTTAGGTGCTTTGTTTTCCTTCTTAAGGTGCTTTGTTTTCCTTCTTAAGGTGCTTTGTTTCTTCTTTAACTAAGGACGCACGTTTTTTTTTCTTTTCAAATTTTCGTTAATTTGAGCCGTTGATCTAGATTAGATCAACGGTTCATATCTCACCCCATTTTTTACCTGGGAGTATCTCCGCACTTGAACCGCTCCCTATATATATACCTAAAGCCCAGCGGGTAGTCCATTGTTGAGTATCCTATGACAGGTGTAGCCCAAATCTAAAATTATAATTCAATTTTAATTTTTTAACTTTTCTACACTTAGCATAAGGTTTTACGTCTCTCTTTCTCAATTGTCATTTTCGACTTTCCGCCTCTTCATTCTTCAGGTTAGATTTGTCTTTCTTCACGGCATTACAATCACAAGTTCAACACTACGTCAAAGATGAATGAAGATTAGTAATATAGACTTTTTTGTATTTTAAATAAATTATTTGTATTTTAAAATTCGATATTTAATTTTAAATTTTGAATGCTTGAAATCTTGTATTGTAATTTATTTTATTGTTTAAGCTTAAAAAATGCCCTCCTATCCGCATCCAATCCGTCAAATCCGCTATATTAGCTGATCGGATTGGATCGGAATAGCACCCCTAGCGGATGTGGATGCGGATGGAATTTTTCAAATCCACCCCAATATGTTCCAGGCTCACCCCTAGATGCAAATCCATTTAATGGAAATCTGCTACTAGTGGATTGGATGTGGATGTGACTTCTCAAAATCCAGTATATCCAATCCGCTCCACTAATCTGCCATATACTCCGTGTATATATATATGTACCTAAGCCTAGTAGTCCACTATTGAGTATCCCTATTGCAGGTGTATTTCAAATATAAAAGTATAATTATAATTCAATTATAAATTTTAACTTTTCTATGCTTAGCATGGGGTTTTAGGTTTCTCTTTCTCAACTGTAACTTCCGACGTTCCACCTTCATTCTTCAAGTCAAATTGTTATTCTTCATGGAGTCACAATCACAAATTAAGCACTGCGTTGAAGATGAATGAAGATTTGGAAATGAAGGAGATTTGCAATTTATATATATTTTTTTTATTTTAAATTAATTATTTATATTTTAAAATTGGATATTTGTTTTTTTTTTTTTTTCAAATGGGATGCTTGAAAGTTTGTGATTTTGATTTTTTAATGCTAGAAATCTTGTATTATAATTTATTTTTTATAAACTTAAAATTCGCCAACCCATCCGTCAAATCCACTATTAACGGATCAAATTGGATTGGATCTGCACCCCTAGTGGATGTGGATGCGGATGGAATTTTTAAAATCCACCTTTAGCGGATTGGATGTGAATTCACTCCAATCCACTATAAACGGATCATATTGAACTAGATCCACACCCCTAGCGGATGTGGATGCGGATGGAATTTTTAAAATCCGCCTTTAGCGGATTGGATATGAATTCAGCCCAAATCCGCTCCAACCCACTCCGCGCTCATTTTCTCATCACTGATTCACTATTCATCATTTTTGTATAATGCATTCAACCATCAACACATTCCCTCCTCTCCATTTTCCTTTGATCTTCTCTCACATGACAATCATCAAATTAATATCTTTTTTAAAAAAATTAAAAGGAAGAAGAAGCGAGCAGATTCAATAACTCCATCACAGGCATTTTCAGTTTTCTATTTAACCCAATCATGTCTGAAGGTACTGAGGATGAATAAAAGGAACACTCACCCCAAAAGTAACCAATCCAGGACCTCTAGCATTAGGACGCAAACCTTCAACACTATCATTTTCTGTTGGGTCAGACCTGAAAGCATAGATTTACATATGTAGATATCATTTTCTTTTGGATAAGAGACCTGAATGCATGTATTTACATATGGGTTTTATAGGAAAAAAAAAATAGAATGATAATTGGACAAAGACAAACACACTAACCACAACAGGTCCATGAGCACAATTGAACCTGCTTCCATGGTAATAGGGCGCTGAATATTCTCAATTTGTTCAAGATGATTGATTGATCTTCCAATACCGCCATGCATACAGATAATTTTATTCTCAATCAATGCCGCCAACGGAAGCCAGTTAAACAGTCTGTTAATACGATGCCAAGCCCAGATTCCATCTCTCTCACCCTGTTTCATAGTCCTAATCACAATCAGTGTCTTGGACAGCAGAAAATACAAGTCTAAACTCAAAATGATAGCATACCATTCGTTCAATGCACTCAATTCGAAAGCCAAAAAGTGCATTAATATCTGCAGCTTCATGGTTCCCACGAATTAAGTGAACATTGTGCGGATACTCCACCTAAAAAAGAAATGAAGTTTTTGAATTAGAATCAATTAGTGATGGGGGTGAAACATAGGAATTGCACACAAGGACAGGTACCTTCAAAGCCATTAGAAGAGTTATGGTCTCCAAACTATGCTGGCCACGATCAACATAATCTCCTAGGAAGAGATAATCGATATATCTGATGGTAATTTTATAAAAATTAGCTCCAGAAATTTTCCCTTGGTTAACCTCCTTGCATAGAGAGAGATTAAGAGGCTACTACACAGTTGTATTAAACCAGTATAAAACAGAAACACAGTATAATGAATCTGAAACTTTGCAAACTAATATACTAAATTCATACAATTGCAATACATGAAATTGAAAACTAAAGCTCACTGATGCTATAAAAGACTAATTAACAACAATAATAAAGAATTGTGAAATCATCAAACTGAGCAGTTCAAGAACCTTCTCAGCATTATAGTACATAAAAATAGAAAAATAGAAAAAAAAAAAAGGGCACATACGATATATCTCCAGCAGTTGAAGGGGATCCATACTCATCAAAGAGACGCATGAGATCCCCAAATTGCCCATGCAAGTCACCAAATATCTTAATAGGAGCCTTGAGTTGAAGAACAGTAGGTTCACTTGAAAATATTCTTTCTGCAGTGTCACAAAGATCAGCTATCTCGTTGCAGTCCAAGAAAAATTGCCGTCGCACAGGTGGCTTCCATCCACGAGGTTTTAGAAGATGGGCAATGACCTGAGACAATGTAAGCAAGTAAATAAGCAACTGTTTAACATTTAAAGCATCATTTATAAAGAGGGAACATGACCACTGCATACAGGAGCAAAAGATAATCCATTTATGAAATTACCAATTAAGCAAAGAAACATCTCAAAACAATCTTTCAAAGGTAAACATTAAACTAAATACTCCATCCGTCCCATTTTGTAAAGGGCAGTTATGCTTGACACAGTTTTTAAAGAAACAAATAAGATGTGATATTATTTCCAAATTTACCCTTCAAAATATAACCACCTAGTCAAAACAATTTAAAAAGTTAAAAGGTGCTAAGGGTAAAATGGAAAAAGAAAAAAGTTAGTGGTGTTTAAATTGAAAGTGGCCATTGTTTTGGGATGATATAATAAGGAAAGTAGGACAAATAAAATTGACAGAGCTAGTACATTTAACAGCAAGGATAATTCATGAGAAGAAATACAAAATAAGCAAAGAAATGTTGAATTGAAACAAACTGTGGAAATGAAATAAGAAAACACAATAAAAAGCCGCAAACACAATTGTATATATCCAAAATTGTAACTTTTTGGTATATCAAAAATATTCAAAATCCTAATAGAAACTAGTTATTTTCATCCGAACTAGGCATTCTTAGATAAATCATGTACGTCACAAGCAACAACTACATAATAGCATCTAATAAGCCAACCACCTACAAGATAAAAAGGAAAACTTTTCAATTAACCCAGCTCAAGCTCAACCTCATCAGCCACACCTGAAGAATCTACAACCTAAACCACATTCATTTACCATCCTGCACGCATGAAGGCAATTGTCATACCTTTTTGGGAATACTGTTGATAGACATTTGTCTATCTAAAAGTTTTCTTGCTGCTGTTGCATTTTCTGGAGTACCATAACTGACTCGTCTGCCTTCATTTTCGAATTGATCAATAGAGAGCTGTCTAACCATACCTCCTAGAGCTCCACCGGTCTCTGCAGCAATAACTACCTGTTGCATTGAAGGTATAACACCTGTCAATATGATGTCAGAACTGAGTCATGAAACCAACAAAACTAAATAATAGTTTCAGGAAACTGGCAAACACACAGCACGGTGATGTAGTCGAACTCCAGGTGGAGCAGAATTGCTTGCCAAGGAAGGTTCAAGCTTGACTAAACTTGATGCCTGTTTTCCACTAGGAGTTGCATCTGCTCCACGATCCCTATCAGGCAGTTCAACTTCTCCATTAACTTGTCGAGCTTTTGCTGCAGCTAATGTGGCACTAATAGCCTCTGCTTCTGCGGCAGAGGCTTCAACTAAATACTCAACACCTTTGCTCAATCTCCTGTGCAGAAATACAAATTTAGGTTTAAGAGGAACCAAAAAACAAATTCAGAATAAACTCAAGGAAAACCACACATTTAGCTTAGCTCACCGATTTCCTTGAAGCATAGCATTTTCAGTGCTTATATCAGTATACATATCACCATTTACTGGGGGAGCAACAGGATTTCCAAGAACAACTGCCCCATCATTAACTGTTTCAGAAACTGCTTGTCTCATTCTTTCATCAACAAATCCATACCTCCCTTGCATTCTCCCTTGTGGTACATTTGCAGCTGCAGCAGCTGCATGAGAAGCAGCACTTGTTGTTTCAGCAGCAGCCAAATCTTCAGCAACAAGCAAGTCATCCAGCAATACACCTGAAAGATATTCACTGGGTCAGATTATTGTCTTAGTTAACATCAGAATGCAATTAAGTAATTTCACAACTCTTGAGAAAATTGCATCACTTCACACAGGGAAAAAAAAAAAAAAAAAAAAAAAAAAAAAAAAAAAAAAAAAAAAAAAAAAAACCATCTTAAGAAATATGTTTACCATATCAATGACAAAATTTCAAATTTGCAGGCATAAATCACTACCAAATTACATGTGTGCAAAGCCTAACAAGAACTAACTGAACTTCAGAACAAAATTGATTTCTTTCATCTACAAATATCATAAAAGCTTCCTCAAAACTAACAACTTCCCACAAATATCCATGCAGAACATTTTGTTCCAACTTCATATGGCTATATGAGAAGCCTAAAATATTGCCACTAACACACCTGTCAAACTGATGGTTTCATGAATTTAACAAATCATTCAGGATATTTAAAAAGTGCTCCCTTGTTATTTCATTTTTTAAGTACAGCCTATTTTTGGGACAATTCTGAAGCATCTGCCCCAAAACCTATATCAATCAATCTAGGGTAGACGGCTTTTCCGGACTCTATTACAAACTGAAGTCGGTACTTTTAATCAATTTCAATTGATTTCTTTAATTTAAGATTCTTAATGAATAGATCCACTGTTCTTCTGCATAGATAGAAGTTATCAGTCTAAGAGAGTGGTCCCCCCACAAATGAGATACGGAGTATATATTAAAATAAGTCTGTTTGACTATGCACCCATTATTCTTACCACCACGTAGACCACCATAAATAAAGATCAAATCACCCACAGCAGCAGCAGCATGCCTACAACGCCTTGTCAACTCAACAGCTGCATCTCCACCTGCTGCATCAGCGCTGAATTTACCAGTTCTTGGGCTTGTAACAACAGACTTTGTATCACACCACACCCCAGCTGCAGTATCCAAAACTGGAAAAAGGAAATACATATGTTTTCAATAGGTAACATTAATCTGGTTAAAACTTAAAAGAAGTCTTTCTTAAAGAAATCTGTGGTAGAAAGTAAGTAGAGACAATACCAGCCACACTGGAGGAGTCTTCCACCATACGTCCACCGCCCAGTGCTCCTCCAGATACATGGAGCCTTGCATTAACAAAGACCTACAATTCAAACATATAACTTAAACTTCCAGACGGAATAAAAAATCACACATATAGTACAGATTTAACACTCAAATAACTTACTGCAGCATGTTGATATCTAGGAGATGGTGACACACCCGGAGCAATAGCCCACTCCCACCGACCATCTCTATGTTTAGCAAGTCCATATGCACTTGCTAGTGGCTGCAAACCATCAATATGATCACATAGAAGAGAAACACACAAAGCATTGCCCGTGAAATTATTAGCATGCATATGGGGAAGGAAAGTAAGAAAAAAATACTTACCACACTATTAGCATCCCTCCCTCCACAAAGTAGTAGAAGACCATCAGAGCGTGCACTTGCAGTTGCATACCTGGGCAGAGATCAATGGATAGATGAGGGAAGAAATAAACAAAGCCTGCTCAGTTTTCATTAAAGCTTTGCACAACCAGGCAACCAGCAGAATATTTTGAAGGGAGATATTAAAATTGATGTGGATATCAAAACTTGCATAACTCAGTTTGACTATGGAAACGAACATTTTTATGAAATCATGTGAATTATTTTTAAAATCAGAGGCATAAGGTGTGGCATATTATGTATGGTGGTGCTAAAAACAAGAATTTCAGCGCCGGAACTATTATACTCAGTCATCCATAGTCAAAGGAAACTATGTTAAAAAGGAAAGAATTAGAAAGAGATACCACCTTATATGGCCAAAAGGATTAGAAGAGATTTTTTTCTGGCATGGAACTATTATACTCAGTCATCCATAGTCAGATCTAAGGCTGAATTTCATCTCTCTTTTTCATGTTCATTTCGGTTTTGTTAAATTCAAATGCAATTTTTAATTGTGAAGATTGAGAGAAAAAAAAAAAGAAAAAAAAAAAAAAGCCCTTCTTTCCTTATATGCTACTAAAGCTGAAATTGCATTATTTAACACATATTGCACACAAAATATGCATACAAATCCCATTAAGCACGTTATTAATGACTAAGAAAATTACACAATGTACAAAGAGAAGTATGCTTAGAATTACAAATCTGAATGGTGAAAATGAAGAGAATTACATGCATGGAGGTGGACCTTCACCCTCAGGTTCCAATTTACGCCACTCATATGGCTTGGCTGCTGTATCCAAGGCCCAAACATCTGCTAAAGGTCGTTTCCCTGAAAAGTTGCATGCACCATACTATCAGATCACAAAGTTATGTGTAAGTTCAAGGCAACAGAGAAACATTTTAATAAACCTACCATCATTTCCACCAATTGCCATTAGATATCTTTGCCCTACCAAAGCCATGACATGTCCATAACGAGGGCCTGGCCCAGGGCCTTGGACAACAACTCTAAAAAATGATGTCACAATTTTAGTGAGTTAAAACACAACTTGTCTGCACATGTGTGTCAATCTTGACACAGACTTGTGCATGTTTATGAGAGTAATAGGCACAGGTATTTGTATGAGATTAACATGCACATTAAAAAATCAAACCTATGCCATCGTGGCCGTTGTTGTGTAAGGTCTAGGACATGAAGATCCTCAGCGGACAAACCAGCAGGACCAATTCCACCCTGTAATAATAAGGAAAGACCATCACCACTATCCAAAACACATTTCAGATATCATGCCACCTCTATGCTAACAGTAAATACCAACCTGAATAACCACCATTGTACCAACAGCAGTAGCTACATGGGCTGCCCTTGGCGTGGGTGGCTCTCCGATTGGAGCAATTCTAAGGAGATAATTAGTGGGGGAAAAAAAAAACATTCTCAGCTATGAGAAAAAACAATCACATGGGAAGCCACAGAATTGATTTGACATAGAAGTACTACTATCAATCAAAAGGGTTACCTAGTCCATTTATTAGTCAATACATCGTAACAGTGGATATCAGCCGTAGCCCCAGCCAACCCTGTAAACAGATAGAGCCTTCAAGATCAACTAAACAGGAAAATAAAATAAATTCATCACCCTGTTAATGTATCAAGCATGCATTACATGGACTACAGGGTTAGTACAAGGAGAAAAATGTGCCTCATTAAAGATGGACAAATTTCTTATTTAGAGACTGATGAATTCCACATGAACTAAAGTTCATCATTTACCATGTTCAGACAACAAAATGGTATTTTCCCAGCCCCTACAATGTTCACTCTACACCCCAGAGGATGATTTATTGATATTTGAGGGTGTCCAATAAATGCTACTGAAGTTAGTTGAATTCCAAGTGGAAATGCTACCTTTATTTACTTATAAAATGGTGTACTCCATGACAGGTGCAGAATGCGTGTTTAAACATGTATACAGGTACCACTACTCTGATAAGAAACTTATATGAAGTATCCAATTCAAGTTTTACATTACCATATGCCAAGAGGGGGAAAAAAAAAAAGTGATCCCAATTTCAAATTAAAAAAGGAAAACAATAAGGAGGCATACGAATTCCAGCACTTCCGGCAGATGAAGGAGTCCCTGTGGCTGCAGAATTTCCCTCAAGTGCAGTGGCACCACCAAATAGAATTAGCCGAGGACCAATGTATCCAGGAGTGCCTTCCTCTCCGACAGCCGGGACAGCCGTTAGTGTGTGGCCACACCTTGGTCCTGGGCCATCGTCCTTCTTCTCCAGAATAGGGTGCACCACCGAGTACGTTGGAGCGCACCTTGGCCCCACAACCGGACCAATACTGTTCTGCTGCTGAGGCTGAGTCGAAGGTGGCGACTGCTGCTGCTGTAGAGCCGGAGAACTCTGCTCCGGAGATTCTCCAGCCGATGGCTCGACGCTTGACTGCTCGGAACTCGGCCCGTTATTCTTCTGATCCTGATCGGACTCCGACGTCATGGTCGAATCAACGTCCATCTTTCTCAACCTGAACCCGTAATATCCAAAACTTCCTTATAAGATCGGTGCTCCAATTCTTATCAATTCGCATTTCCGAACAACATTTCCAATCCAATTCAAGCTCCAACAGCGCACAAATTTAAAATTCCCAAACCCTAGCTCAGATCCTCTGATTCCAAACACAGGAAAGAGTACATACATAAATATACGCCAATAATAATAATTAATTTCTCCCTGAATTCTCCAAGAAAATTAAAACCCTAGAAGAGAGAAAACAAAATCTTTTTTTTCTTTTCGTTAGTCGTTTCTCTCTCCGAAAAGCTTTTCAATTCTAAAGGCGGTCGAAGGTATACACACAGGGACAAGGAGGCCAAAAACACCACCAGCACCAGTGTTTCCAATCTCCTCTTTCTCTCTCCGCCAATCCAAAACTTTCTCTCTCTCTAAAAACATTTCATATCCATCTCTTTCCACGGGCCCATTCCCTCTCTCTCTCTCTCTCTACACCTATACACGAATGTACGTACTCTTCTTTCTATGTACAAATAATACTCCGTAGCATATCTATCTATCTCTCTCTATACTAGATTGAAGGGTCGGGTCGGAGGACTGTCCGAAGCTCCCGACTTTTTATTGATTATTCCTCCGAAAACTACGGAGAATATTGGTATGGTTAATTTCCCAAAAAGACTTACCATCAGGGACGGAGCCAAAATTGCTTAGTGCGGGGCCAATTATGATTAAAATACTAAATCTAATACATTGATATCCAGTTAACATATTTTAAAATAATCATTATTATATTACAAATTTAATAAAGTTTAGAATAAATCATTTATAATTGAATCTATATTAAATTATTTTGTAATGTGTTTTTCAATGCACATTGCTTTGTACGGTTGAAAGAATGAAAACATTCACGCGTGTTTTAAAAGACTATTGATTATTTCTTGAAAACTACCATCTTCGCAACATAACATAATAGCAATTGTTTTCTCAAATACATATACTACACAATTTTTACATTATTATGTATGTTAAATTAAATACAAAATTTATCACATAACCACAAATTTGCATAATTAACCAAACAAATGCACCTTGATATCTAATATTTAGAATCAAACAAAATCACTATTTAAAATAAACAATAGAATATGAAACAAAAATGAACCAAACATGTAGTTATAAACAAAAAGAAAAAACAAAAATTAACTTGAAAAATATGCATAGATTTTAATGACGAATTGTCTTGTTATAGCGTATATACCGCATATAAGTATGGTTCTAGAGAGAAAAACTAGTAGATAGGTTAAATGAGGTTTAATTTGAATGTGAGTCAATAATATAGGGAATACATAATTTGAAATGGGAGAGAATTGGAGAAGATGAAGAAGTTTATAACTTAGCTTGTAGCATTAATTTAAGTAGGAGGGGGGCCAAATATTTTGAAGGAACAACAAAATTTTGATATTCTATATAATATTATATATAATACTAAAAAAAAAAAAAATTGGAGGGGGGCCAAGGCCCCCCATAGCATGCCTTTGCTCCGTCACTGGTTACCATGCATCACTGCACAATTATTTTTTATGTTTAAAAATTGGAAAATACTACATGTACTTCCATTTCTTACTCCCAATTTTTACTTCCTCTCACAAATTCTTGATGTAGACATATTCTCTGGAACCCACATGATGAAAATATCAAATCTTTGTTTGTCATGTCATGGAGTACAAGTGAGGGAGTAGAGTTTGGGGGTACATGTAGTAGAACTCTTAAAAATTACTCCGTATAAAATTCTTTAATACGGACTATTATCTTTATCATCATATTATTAAACAAGTATTTTCACTTACACGAAATTGATTTATTAGAGCATCCCCATTAGAAATTTGTTCTCAGATTTTAGAATAGTAAAATTTCTCATGTTGAATTTTTCACAAATGAGGGTGTTGATTTTTGGAGAACTCTTTCTCCTGTAACACCTCCAATTTTTGTCAATTTTTTTTTAAATATACATATATATAATAGGTGAGACACGCAAGTGCGTCTTACCCTGCGGTCTAGTGGGCGCATGTGTTACACGTGCGTTAGGGCGTTTCAGAGTGGCCGCCAGCTGGCGGCTACTCTGATTCATATAGAGTTGTTATTATTATTTTTTTTTTTGCTAAAGTGTCATCCCGCATCATGAATCATAAGCGATTCTTTATGCCGCACTCTTACCTTTCATAAGTGCTGATTCGATGCACAAACTATTTTTTTTTTTTGTCGCCTAGCCTTTTTAGAAGGTTTCCCAGTTGAAGTGCTAACATAGAGCCGGTTAAAATCTTATGTGGAGCCATTTTTAAAAAAAAAAAATTCCTCATTTAAATTGTTAAAACTTAGTCGACAATTCCCCTGTTCATTTTCTCTTGTATTTGTCGACAACTCCTCACTGCTCTCCGGCGATGATGCATAATCAGACCACTTTGTCCGATGTTCTCCGACGATTCACTGGTCTCGGACGAAGCACTGGTCTTCGACTATAGTCAGGGTACAAGATGTCATCTTCCTCGACATCATCACGGGTGAAGTAAACATGGACTATGAGCCTAGTGTTTTTTTGTAATTGTGGGTTGAAAGCTCCTATTTGCACAAGTAGAGAATCGGGAAAGCAATTCTTTGGCAGCCAAAGATGGAAGGTAGGGATTTATTGAATTTTGGAATCAATTTTGTGTTTTCAATTGTTTTCAATTAAAGGTAGGGTTTTGCCCCGTTTTGAATAGGATGGAAATAGTTGTGGCTTCTTCCTTTGGAAGGATTAGAGTGCTAGGAGGGGTGAAGGTGAGCATGAAGACCTCAAGAAGCTTGTGTTATCTTTGAGATGTGAACTAGAGGGTGTGAGAGAACTAATTATTAATGAGTGTAGTGTTATGAAGAAAAAAAAAAAAAATCAAGTGTTGAGGAAAAATTGTTTTCTTCTCTTAATTGTAATTGGGGTGCTTATAGCCAAACTTTGTAGTTGGGAATTGTAATTGTTTTACATTGTAATGAAATTGCCATTGATTTTGTATTTTGAGTTTGGGATTTGTTATACAATTGCCATTTTGCCTTAATCATGGAAGGATTATAGTATGCCAAAATGCCAAAATGGTCAGAGTATGTTCACTATCAATAGTTTGCCAAAATGGTCACAGTTTGCCATGTTCACATTTTGCCTTAATCATGTAGTGTATGCTCATTGCCTAAAGCGTAAATGATTTGCAATACATTGAATGCCAACTGTGAAAATGGTCACTGCCAATCCAATACTTTCAATACTAACATCAAATACATTCATTTGCCTAAAAACCAGTTGCAATACATTCAATACCTACATGACTTAATCACACAGTGCAAACTAATCAGTCACTTAATATCACTATGCAAACTAATCAGCCAAAATCATTCACTGCATGCATACATTAGACATGCATTAGCCATAATTAGTCACTGCAAACTACATTCAATACATTTACAATTTGTTCACTACAAAACTATCATCATTGTTGTGTACAGTGCTGCAAAAAAATACCCAAAAGTCCAAGAAGCTTCCTAATCTTCAATGTTGTGTGCAATCTACAAACATAAACACAAATTATTATCATATTCCAACAATCACAGAACATATATAAATTGTAGTTTAAGTGAAGTACCTGACATTCCAATAGTGCTTTCTTGAGATAAAATTAGACCCTTCATCTTCCTCTAACAGCAAGACCAACCCTTCCTCTTCTTGTTTCATAAGTACCAGCTCTTCCCCTTCCTCTCCCTCTTCATGTAACAACAGTAGAAGTACCACATTTTACTTAGCTTGTCAAAGTAGGGTAAAATCTTTTGTTGTGCCATTTTCCCTTGTATATTTGACATGTCATTATCCTCTCTTTCCTTGACAACTTACTGACCTATGAACTCAATTTGGTTTTGTCCTTGATCTTCTCATTATCTTCAAGTTTTTTTTTCTTGGGCCTGCCAGTCATCTTCCTTGGAACTGGAGCCTGTATTTCTTCATCTTCAGTTCTTGGCCAAAATTGCTCTCCATTCATTGGCTGTATTACTTCATCATAGGTCTTCAAGTACATCTCCTTACTGTACCATTCATGGATGTACTGATCTGGCTGATAACCCTTGTGAAGTATGGCACAAATGGAATGAGAACAGGGCATACCACTCAGCTGCCAAAGTCTACAAGAACAAGTTTTCAACTCTAAATTCACCTTGAATTGAAATCTTATATTTTTCACCTCATATCCTTCAGTTCCATTGTACACAACTTCCCAATCTGCATAGCCAAGTATGTTCTCATTCAGCTTATTCAGCACACATCACCCATAATTGCCACTCCATCTTTGACTTATAGTTGAATGACCTATTTGAGTAATTTGACCCTTATCCCTAAACTGTTTGACTATTAGTGATCGAAAAATTAGAATTTATGTTTGTACATTGTGCAACCAGGCCACAAATTTTGATATTACCCTTAACATGGCGTTTGGTTGGGAGGAATGAATTATGGAGGAACTGAATTATTTGGTAGGAGGAATATAATTATTGAGGATGAGAAAGGAAGAAGTGAGATAAAGACTAAAATGTCATTGTGTAATAATAATAACAACAACAACAACAAAGGATAATAGTGTTATTTCCTCCCTCTTTTCTTTCCCACACCACCAAATTGCAATTCAACCATGGGAGGGAATTGCAACTCGCTCAAACCAAACACTGTAATTGAAGTGGCCAAAGAATTGTGGTGGAATTGCAATGTAATTCATGTCAACCAAATAGGTTGTAAGGCAAGGTATTTTCCTAAATCATCTTTGGTGGTTTGGGTTTCAAGGACCTACATGCTTTCAATTTGACTATGTTAGGTAAACAAGTCTAGGTGTTTCCTAACAAAGCCTCAAGGTAGCAAGAGTTTATAAGGCAAGGTATTTCCCTAAATCCTCTTTTATTGATGCTTATGTGGGTAACTTCTAAGTTGGTGTAGTATTATGGTTGCTCATGATCTGGTCTGTAGGGGGTGAGGCGAAGAATTGGAAACCGTAAGAATATTGTGTACGAAACAATAATGTTCCTCTTTTATTGATGCTTATCAGTTGGTAAGTCTACTTTAATTTGGGGACATCCTTGGTTTCCTGATGATCCTAGTCCTATGATTCAAACCACTATGCTCTATGAGTTGAGTGGTTCTATGGTTTCTGGTTTAATTGACCAGGAGACTAATACGTGAGACCTTTTTATCTTGGTTGATATTTTCATCCTTGATGATGTGAATCGTATCTCTAGGATCCCCATTAGCCCTAACTATGAGGATTCTTGGTATTGGCAGGGAGACCCGATGGGTTGCTGTAAAGAGTGTTATAGACACATTATTGGTGATTTTGATGATCGACCCGAAAACTTTGATAAATGGATTCCCTTTGGAAAATTAAAGTTACCCCCAAGTGGAGGACTTTCTTATGGAGAGCGCTCAAATGATATCTTTCCCACTACTACGAACTTGCTTTTAAAGAGGGTTGAAGTGGACCCATCATGTCCAATGTGTGGCCTTGATCATCAATCACTCCTCTTGTGTGACTATTATCAACTTGTTTTGAATGAATCCACCATACCTATCTCTAGTATAACTGGCAACACTTTTCCTATGTGGTTTAGAAATGTAATGGATTGTTTGTATGAAGAAAATATTGGTTTGATTGTGGCAGTGTTGTATCACGTTTGGAGAGCAAGAAATTCAACGGTGTGAGAGGGCTGCTTACTGTTGCCAAGAAGGGTTTGGTCGGCAACAAGTTATACCTTACATGCATGGAAACAGGTTCATCACTGTCATGCGCTGACTGCTCCTGCTCAGTCGATCCCTCTTCTGCCCAAATGCTACTTCGAGGCCGCTTATCACCATTCAACGAAGAGGCCCTCATTTGGTACAGTCTTGTTCTCGTTGGACGGAGGCTTCACGGCAGCATATAGTGGGCTGCTCCCGGGTTGCTTCTCGTCGCTTATGGCGGAGTCTTTGACTTGCAAGGAGGTGTTGTCTTGGCTTAAAGATCGAGGTGTGTAATCTGTAGAGCTTCTCACTGACTGTTCCGAGCTCCGAAGCTGTTTATCATTCGCTCAAGTTGCTATCTTTTCTTATGTTGGTTTAACCATTGACGATTGCAGGGCTTTTATGTCTATGTTTAATCAATGCTTTGTTAGTTTAGTGCCTAGATCGACTAATTTAATTGCTCATACTCTTGCATTTGCAACATTCGCTTAGACTTGCACTTTATACTGGGACTCTGTTTCTTTTGACTCTATATCTGCTTTATTATACTAATCCATGCTGGGTTTTTTGCTTTCAAAAAAAAAGGTTGTAAGGGATTTTGCGCCACTCTGAAGTGCTTGGAATAGCTGTTTGTGACCAAAAGTCAAAAATTCTGAACATGTTTGGGTGAACAAGAAATTTTCCGGCAGTATTTTTTTTAATTAGTTGGAGTGTATAAGCAGAATTCAAACAATATTTCTGCCTTTACTAAAAAAAATTGTCTTTCAAATTGGACACGTGGCCTGACGGCAGGATCAAAATATCAGAGAATGTTCCCGGCCCAAACATTATGAACAAGTCGGGAAATGTTTCTGAAAAAAAAAAATAAATAAAGCGTTACATCACACAAAAGTGACACAACTCAGATCATTTTTTTTTTTAAACAAAAAACATCAGTTGGTGCGTACCCAGTAGGCCAGTAGGGTTAAAGCAGTACATTAGGATAAGGTATCTACCTGCTTTACCACATAAGCTATCAAATACTATTAATACACTATCATATTATGTAATTAGTAATTTTGATTTGTGAATTTATCAAACTCACAAATTAATCACTCATATTAGATCACAAAAAATAATTTAACATTTGGTACAAGTAGCACTTTATGCTTGGAAAAATAATACCCGATCCTGTCTTGCCACTTCAGGATAACTAATTTCTCATCTTTGGCAACTGGCAAGCAAACTCACAGATATTATATATATATATATATATATATATATATATATATATATATATATATATATATATATATATATATATATCTTTAACTATTTAAGGCTTCAAAATCCCTCCCTCCAGGAGTCCAGGGGGAAAGAGAGAACTAACAGACTTCCATACCAAATGTAAAGATTGCTCTGAAAAGCATTGTATTATCTATTCATTTCACTTAACAAATCATAAATATGATGACAAACAAACGACCTACAACAAAACTGTCAACTACCAGGTGAAGTCAACTGCTACAGGCGGCAGCAGGTCTACGTGGTTTTTCTTTTGTTTCGATTCAATCAACAAGAAATATCTCTTGATAATAGGTTCAGATGTTTAACGGGCCTGTATTAACTGGCTTTTGGAGAACCCTTACAGCTGGCATGCCATCACCGCCGTCGTTCTGGACTCTCCAGCTGCGGTCTTTCTTCTTCTGTGGCTTCTTATGCTGTTTATGGGGTGCCCTTGTTGGCTTCTTTTTAACAGTTGCTTTACTAGAAGCAGCTAGCCCATTAGTGATGTCGAATGTGTTTAGATCATTCAGAATGTGGTCAAGGCTTGGTGCATCTTCTAGTTCACTTACTGAAGGGTCTTCAACATCAGAGGAATCATGGTCTGACAGGCTGGGTCCAGCATCATCAACGTCGTCATCTGTATCAGCAGCGTCCTCTTCACCATCTTCTTCCTCGTTCGGCATTCCAGGTGGCATTTCAAAGTGGGGAAGCTTCCCGTCAACATAGTCCTTCAAAATTTGGCGGGCGGCTCTAGTTTCATCAGGCAGTCCACTTGCAGCAACATATCCCCGGGATGCACAATAGGCTCTCAAAAGTTCTGATGCCAAAGGTGGACGTGATTGTGGTTCATATGGCTTTGGCTTGGGCAAAGAAATTTTATAGACATCCTCTATAACTTTTCTAGGAACTCGGTTTGCCACAACCTGAATAGCCTCCCGGTGCTCAGTCATGCGATCAATTGGCAAAACCCCAGAAGCAATCATCTCAAATCTTGAGCTTGTGAAGGATGGAAACACTAGACCAGGGCAATCACACAGTGTAAGTCTGTCAGATATTATCAATGTCTGGAAATGCTTTGTCTTTCCAGGAGTGGAAGTTACACCAGCCCGCTTCTCCCCTACCAAAGCATTAATGGTTGAACTTTTACCAACATTGGGATACCCTACAAATCCAACCATTACACTCTTAGGTTGTGCATTTCCTGCCAAGTTCTCATCAGCAAGGTGACCATCCAAGGGGACAGGAAGACTGGACCTTAAACCATTCCTAGTAAGGACTATATTCTCTGCTTCAGAAAGTAATCGAGCCAATAGCTCCTCTCTGCCATATATTCTTGTCTCGGCATCATCTGACTCTTGCAAATCATCTTGAATCTTCAAGACACTAATTTTTTTTCCTTCAAGAGCTGCAGTAGCAGCCTTTGCAGACCAAAATACAAAGAGAATGCCATGAAGGCGAAAGTATTCAGCCCATTTCTTTCTGCAAGAGGGGGAGGGGGGTAATTAAAGCAAACCATACACATAAAAACGAGAAAACTAGCTGGCTGCTAATAGTATAGATATCGATGTGAAAATTACCTGATGGATAAAGGTAAAAGATCTGCTTTATTTACTAGAAGCATTGTTTTTTTGTGTTCATCCACTTCTTGTGCATATGCCTGCAAATTGATGAAGTAAACATCAAATCCACACAGCAGTCAGCTTCAATAACAAAACAATAAAGCAAGGAACTTGCCATTAAAGTAAACAATCCTTTTTAAAATATTAACTCTTTTGTTTTTCTCCCTTATAGATATCATGCTCTCAAGTGGCAAAGAATTTGGTGGAATAAGTGAAAAGACAAAACGCAGTAAAGCTAATTCCACCTGATACTTGGTCAGAAACATTAAACATAAAAACTCAAAAAGCTTTTCTAGACAGAAAACTTAGAAATTACCTCAAGGTCGGGACAGCGGTAAAAGAGGGGGTCCCGAGCATCAACCACCATCACAAGCTGGGGCAAGGAAAAGAAAGTTAATGGGTGATCTCAACATTATGAACCAATAAACATACTGCTTAAGACTATCTACTGAGTTCTCATATATATGTGTCAAAATGAGATTTCCACATATTCAAGATAAATACCCTGAGTAGTCAAATGTTTTGTCTGAGGCAAATTATATCCTTGAAAACAAAATTTAAAATGAAGTTGTGCCATGAAGTCCTTTTATTGACCACCAGAGCTTTTTCATCCAACCAAAGAAGGATGAACCTGGTGGACAAGACACCTATTCAGCAGGATAAGGGAATGAAGATATATGTGCGCACTTTAAATGTAATCTAACACTCACCCCCTCCCCAAACAACTACTTCCAATGTCAAACAAGGGATCAATAAAGCATACAACAATATCGAATAGTAAGCAGATAATATTAGGTGATTTCAAGATCCAACAGATAAAATGCAACATCTTAATTACTTAAATGCCCAACAACAACAATCACACCAGTATGCAGAGTAGGCAAATCAGCAAATGTATGAAGAGAGATAGAGAGAAACACAAAAGAGAAAGGAAAAACCATTATCTCACCAAATCACAACGTTCAACCACTCTCCAAAGCTGTCTCCAAATATCAAGGTTTTTCTCAAATGGAGTTAGGACAAGATTCTCATTCTCCTCAAGTCTGCAGAAATAAAAATATCATGGTTTTAAATACCTTTTAATATGGTAATACACCAAAGATCTAATAGGTGACATTGAATGTTAATCATAGACAGAGGATAATGTGAGCTTTCTTGTGCCTAGAATCATCAGCAAAAAAGGGTATAGCAAATCCTTTCACTAATACACATGTAAAATAATACATTGCTTGGAATATTGCTTCAAGGTGCATCCCTTGAAGCATATCTATAAGGTAGGCATGACTAAAAATGCAAAATAAATGTCATTAGATTTGGCACGGCAATAGAAAATAGATAATGGAAATCTAGTTTGGCCTATGGTATCCCAAAAAAAAAAAGAATAATTATACGGCATTGGATTCATTGCGGGAAGAGACTGCAAAAACCCAGGAAAAATTAACCATACAAGTATTGGCATACTGGTGGAGTTGGCAGCAGAGTAACAAGCATTGTAGAATAAATCATCTCTAAGCACACACATACACCATAGAAATGTAGTGATATTACATGAAGTAAAGATAGATCCAGAAATGTGCCAGTACGCATTTAATATCTGCAAACTAACCTCGCAAGGCTCCTCCGCCAAATTAGAAAAGCTTGCCTTTCATTGGTATCAAGCTCTTCAACAGACATTCTAGAATTCCATGGTGGCCTGTAAAAAAAGTAATACGATCAAAACCAATACCAAACGACATATAACTCAGTAGATTCAGAGAGATGAAAATACTTGCCTCCGTGGAACATGAAGACTGCTAGCATGCAATTCCTCCTCTCTCTTTTGCATCTCCCTCCTTTGCTCAGGTGTAACCTCACTATTGCTGGAGCCAGAGTCCCTATCATGACAATGCCAAGACAAGTCCATTAAATGATTTGTGTGGGTGTGTGTTCCTTCATTCCATTCTATTTCTGTAGCAGTTTAAAGCAAAAATAGCTATGTCTATTCCTCTAGCTCTCCTATCAATACCATAAAAGTAAATTGAATAGAAACCTCATCCTACATTAACATCAACACTAAGCACCTTTCAGTAAAATAATAGAATTGGCTGACAATAAACTAAAATAATATATGTTCAATTGTTTACTCCTTTCTGACTTTATAGTACTCAGAAGGAGGGTTGAGCTCATGAGCTGATAAAGACTAAATCCTTACTTTGCAAACACAATGTTTAGTTAAAGTTAGCTAAGGTGAGCTGAAAATGAACTTCTATTCAGCTTAAAGCAACAACAAGAATTTTAATATGATACATTTACTCGTTTCTATCATCTCAGTGCAATAAACTTTGTTCAGACTTCACAACCAGAATTAACAGAGGTACTGAAAATAACAAAAATAAATAAATAAATAAAAGATAGTGAAAATTGTTTACAAATTGATGAGAAGGTTAACGGGAGGATGGCGGTCGGAGAAGAGGCGCTGTGCCTCATCGGCCTGATCGATGACGGCGTCGATGTCGTTGACCTCGGTGACGGACTCGAGAACCTTTTTGTGCTGGTTCCGGTAAAACCGACCTTTCTCTTTGGTCTGCTGGATCATCTGGTTGTGGTGCTTCACCAGAGCCCGCCCTAACCCCGTCTTCTCCCCCTTCCCCATTATCCTATACCAGAAATGCCTCTATAGAGCTCTCTGTCTATCTCTATACCTCTCTCAATGTGTTTGTGTTTTTTCTGATTTTCAATCTTTCCGAGTAGTGGCGGTAGAGAAATTGGGAACGCCTTCGAGACGAGGGGAAACAACGGCTGACCGGGACAAGGAAGAAAGAAAAAGATGAAAACCGGTCCGAGTCGGCGAGACGGGCTGCGGAACAGAAAACAATTTTGCTTTCTATACTGGGCTGGGCCTCATCAATAATTTTCAGTATTTTCAACTTTTATGGCCCAATTTTATTTTTTTTTAAAGAAAGATTATAAATTAAATAACATTCAAAAGATTATATATTTTGAAATTAAATAACTCAAAAGATGATACGAATTAATTTCACACTGAATTATAAAACTAATTTTCTCCTAGACATGAATACCTATCTAATTGTTGTGAGTAATTACTTATCAATGATATTGATGTTATATTATGTGTAGTATTGAAGTGTCTAGTTCAACTGAATTACGTGTTAACATACAACTATTGCACGTCATTTTTGCTTAGAGTGGAATAATTTGGATGTTAACCTTAGAATATTTTTTGTCTGTAACAATAAATTTTCTCTCAAAAATATTGGACTGACATTATTGCAATTTGCCCACTTTGCATCCTCATCTCTAACTCACTCTCTCCAATCAGTTTTGCTCCACACTAGCTGCGTTTGGAAGGAAAATGATTAGTAATATGTGATGTGACTATTATCGCTTGAAGTTATATATTTTAGGTCTGTTTGGTTCATAGGCATGGACGGAGCCAAAGGGGCTGGGGCAGCTGCCCTCACCCCACTCCCACCCCATCACATATATAACTTTTGTATGTATATATGTATATATAATACAATTTTTAGTATTAGTATAAAAAACAGATTAATGTTACCAAGAAGTGAGTTATATTAGTTAGCAAAACATATGTTTGGTTATAATGAAGATTATGGATTCAAATCTTGGCTTCAACACAATCATGTTTTTAATAGTTTTTTTTAATATTTAATACACACACATAACATTCTTTTATATTAATAATGAGATGTGTAATTTATAATGTGTTTTTTATTCAAATTATTTTATCAAATTAATTATGTTTCATATTTTGTTATGAATATTTTTATAAAGTTTCGATAAGCTTTATTTTTTGCTCATATCCAACAATATTTATATCTATATTTCTTAGATATTTTTTTTTCAAACTATCTCTTTTGTTTTAACGTTTCGCCTTCACTGGAAAAAATTTCTGGATTCGTCGTTGCTATTTCGCGCCCCCTCAATGGAATTCCTAGCTCCGTCCCTGTTCATAGGTTTACATATTAAGAATGAGAATAAAAATCATAGTTAGTATTTGGTTGACAACTTTTTAAAACATAATTATGAGATTTGATTACCTCTTCAATTAAAAACGAGTATGAGAGTATCATTCCATCTTATTGGTAATCTGATTTTTAATAAGTTTGGATTAGTGCTTTTAGATTTTTGTTTTTGATTTTTTTTTTCAATATCGGTGTTTTGGATGTCATTATATTAAGATCAATTGCCTTGATTTTCAATTTTTGTATTTTTAAAACCTTTATTCTCAGTCATACATAACCCAACATCAATATTGATAATCATTTCAGTTCCACCCTACTACCAAACAAGCAAAATACTTTCATCAAATTAAAATTCATTACTATTATTAAGTATTTGATTCCTATTCTGATTTCGACACTCATGTGCGAACGAAACACACTCTTAATTAGCTTTTCCCCCAATTAAGTAAGTGTTATAATTGTCATTTGATGTTATATATTCTGGGATGAGATCTGGTGCGAAAACTTGTTTAGGTGCGAACATTAGATTTAATCTTAACCGTTGATCCAATTTAGATCAACGGGTCAAATCAATGAAATTTTTTAAAAAAAAAAAACGCGCGTCTGAAAGGAAACCACGCACCTTAACCTTAAGCATTAAAATGTTGTACCTTAAATACACAAACCGCGCACCTTAAGCACACAAATCACGCACCTTAAGAACACAAACAACGCACCTAAAGTTTTAAAATGACGCACCTTAAGTATTATAACTAACGCACCTTAAGAAGGAAAACCACACACATAAAGCTTTGGACCAACGCACCTTAAGTTTCAACAATTGACACACCTTAAACACACAAACCACACACCTTAAGAAGGAAAATTACGCACCTTAAGAAGTAAAACCACGCACCTAAAGCTTTAGACAGACGCACCTTAAGTTTTAACAAAAACGCACCTTAAGTTCTCAACTGAAGAACCGACGCACCTTAAGAAGGAAAACCACGCACCTTAAGTTTTGTTGGATATTTCGTTGGTAAAGCCCAATGATAATCCTACAAAATAAGGATTATTATTTACAGAAAATTTGGGAAGGAAAGGGTGAAGAGATATGGTTCGGGTTGGTGTATAGTAGGGGGTTAGCACAAGTTGAGCGAATCACTCTTTCCTTAAAACCTTATTTGCTACCTCCCACAAGTGCTAGGAGCGTTGTAGCCTAGGTTTCCCAGGATAAAATGTGCTACGATTTAATGTTTGAGCACCCAAACAAAGAACCCGGCGAACTAGAGCAACGGGATGAACACAATTAGGCTAAGAAAATAGTAGAAGCAGAGAGTTTAGGAGCTGAAAATAATATGATTTCCTTGTGTAAAAAATCAGCTGCCCAACTCTTTCTTATATAGGGTTGAAGGAGTAAATAGCTCCATTATGGCATTTAAAAATGACATAAAGCCACTTTTTGTAACCCCTGAAACAACATGACCATTATCTATAACTTAAATTCAAATATCTATAACTTAAATTCAAATATTAAAATTTGAAATTAACTATTGAATTTAGTCTCCCAACGGTGTGTATGCAGAAGGAAGGCACAATAACCCCCTGTTTCGGCCCTAAAACAGTCCGCGTACACAAGTTCAAGCTTGAATCAAACCTTTTCAATCTTAGTTTAAGATTTTATTTGCACTCTCTCCCCTTGCACATAGGAAAGAGGCTCTATACTATACAATTTAATAATTTTTAAAAGAGCTCTTATATAAATAATGGTGCAAATCAACTTCCCAAATCAATGTGGGACAAAAGCTTCACTTTTTCCCTTCATTTTCCAACTCAAATGGGTTTACTTTGAGAATCAATATCTCATTCACTCATTATCCATTTTGAGCGTACAATATATCAATCTCTTCGTCTCACTACGAAGAACCCGAATCCACTTTGACCTGACCCAAATCGGAAATGAACCCCACTAATATTTGTGCCATGAAATAGCCACTTAACATGCCATTTTAAGCTATTTTTTTCCAACAAGTTTGACCTAAACACAAAAATATCAAATTGCCACCGCATTTTTTTAATCTGTGTTCAATCTGGACGGTCCTTTTTAGTGAGATCAATGACTATTATTCAACCACATCTTTCACATGGGCACAATATCCACATATGATCCTATTTATATATATTCTTATTAGTTATTCCATCCATGAACTACTTTTACTCATATTTTAAATATAATTAAGAGACAATTTATTATTATGAAAATTTTAAAATGTTCCAAGTTACAATATTGTATGTGTTAGTATGATAATTTGTAAATTAATGCATTATTTTAATTTTTTTTGAGTAATGGGGGAAACTCACAATCACTATGCGAGATTGTACACTAGGTAAACTCTATATTGTAATTCTAACCAACAAACGACCACAATGAAATAACTAGTATAGGTTACTCATAACTAATCAATTGGTAAACTATTTTAATTTGTATATTGGCATATGTTGGATCATATCATTTTGGTATAAATAAAATTCTTAGAATTGGGGAACAGAGTTATAGAGAGGTTGAATATAATCCTTCTCAAATAAGGTGTCAAAGTCAGCTGTAACCTCATAACAAACTTGTGGCTAATATTGAAGCAAAATGTTAATCACAAAACGTGAAGAAATAAACGTGTGATTATGTGTGGGTCAAAACTTAAATTCAAGTTGTCCAAATTACTATTTAAAGGGATTGTG